GAGTGAGTGCTGTTGGTCCCGGGCTTCTCCGGGGGGGTGATGTAAAGTGTTCTAAAATGGACTCGGATCCTTGGAAGGGGTGAACGCTGCAGTGTGTGAATTACATCTCCGTAAAGCTGCCTCAGAGGAAGTCAGGGGTCGGGGGAGCCCAGGGGTCTGTGGCGTAGGTCCAAGTGTCCACCGCGAGCCGGTTCCGCACCCTGCCCCCGACACACAGCCGCTCCTGCAGGACGTTGCAGGGTGAGCCCTGGGAGAGATCTCTCTGCACCCGCGGGCGGCCTGAACTTCCCTAAATAGGCCTCTGTGTGTGTGCGTGCTCGCGTAAAGCACCTGCTGCCTGGATATTTATTGCCACAGCCCTGGCCGTCTGGACAAACAGATCAGAATAGCCAGCGCCGCCGGCACACTCTGGCGTGCCGGTGAATGAAAGGCACTGGAAGGAGCACCGCCTGGGGACCGGGCGCTGGCTGGCCTCCGGGGTGTGGGTGGGGCAATGGTGGAGGGCGATCTGGTTATGGCTCCCACACCACCCCAAACCATGTTAACTGCCCCGGTTGTGGGGGCCAGCCGGGGCCTGCGAGGGCAGCTCTTACTCAGGGCTGCCTCCAACAGTTGCAGCCAGGTGATGACAGGGGCTGGGGGCACCTGGGAGGTTTTCTCGCACGTGTCTGGCCCTTGGTGCCGGATGGCAGCTGGAACGCGTACTTGTGACTGCTCCCTTGGCCCAGGCTCCCTCCTAGCCCGGCAGCCCCCGGGTCCCCGCTGTGCGCGTGCCAGGAGAACCAGGTGGAGGAAGCCGGTGGACCTAGCTTCGCAAGTCACAGACGGTCACTTCTGCTGTTGTCCCCACTCCAGAGACCCTGCCGCCTCTGGGTGAGAGGAGTATCACATCGTGGGAAGGGAGATACTGTGGTGGCTGTTTTGGAAGATGCCACCTGCCACAAGGGTTAATAAGGAGTCAGATCAGTGATGGCAACGTCCCCTCAAGGATCTGGACCCCCCCCAGTTAGAGCCGGCACAGCTGATTCCAGCGCCCAACCTCAGGCACTGACTCACGGCCCAGGGTTTGAATCCCAGCCCCTCCAGTTCCTGCCTGGATGAGCCCACACAGTCCTCTGGGCCCTGGTTTCCTCCTCCGTAACAGGAAACGGTAGATTTAGTGCCTGCTTCACGGATGACTGTGGGAATCCAGTGGGGTCCCAACTGGTGTGGCTAGCTGGCACCAGGTGTGACGGAGCACCGGGCTCCAACGTCGTCACTGCTGTTTTTGAGTTCCAGGGGGGCAAGTCTCTCCAGTGCCAGCAGGCCCTCTTCCAGGTGCCCAGGCCGCCCTGGCCCCTCTGGCCAGTCCCAGACACCTCCGTCAGCCCGAACCTTGCTCTCGGCATCCATGGGTGGGGGTGGGGTCCTGTGCCCAGCCCAGCCACTCAATCTGCAGCCCCCCCCCCCCCTTGGCCTGTGCTCTGGTCTTGAAGGCTCCTCTTCTGTGGCCTCCTCCGCAGGGCAGAGGCCGGCTTCTGGGTGGCCAGGCAGAGTTAGGGCTTGTGCGGGAGGAGCAGTACGGGGCGGGGGGGGCAGCATCCAAGGGCCGAGGGTGAGGAAGGGCTTCGGCTCTGAGGGCTGGGGGACACATGGGTGGGGGGGGTGCTGCCTGGGCTGGCTGGGGCGGGGAGGGGATTCGAGGAAGACCAGCTTTTGGAGGCAGGGGGGCGCTTCCTGAGCCCCACCTTGGGAGGGTCTTGACCCCACCAGCTGCTGCAAGGTCTTTTCCGGGAAGCTCCGTGGTGTCGCAAGGGTGTGTCTGGCTTTGTCTAAGGCTGCCACCCTTAGTCCTGGCCTTACTGGTTCAGGGGTGAAGCTGGGGCCAGAAGCAGGGCCAGGAAGGACACACAGGGCTCCCACCTTCCCCAGCACCCTGCTCTCTCAGGAGCACGCCGACCCACGAACCAGCTGGGTCCCCAGCCTGGACCACCCCAACATCCTCCCTTCCTCCTTGCTCCGGGGCTGGAATCCGAGCTCCAGGAAGCACTGGCTGTGTGACCCCAGGCAAGTCTGGTTCCTCTCCGGGCCTCCGTTGCCTCGTTTGTGGAAACGGGAGAGTGTCGCTCAGGGTGCGGCTGTGGGTCTAGCGGAAGTCATCGCAGGCGGTGAACTACAACCAAGCAAGGCAGGTGGGGGGGTTCAGAAGCCCCCCTGGGGAAGCACGGAGAGTAACCGGAAGGCCATCTTTGAGCTGGAAAAAGTAGGTCCTTGTGCCTTGTCCTGTTTCGCTCACCCGCTCTCCGTACAGGTGAGGGGACTGGGGCTGCTGGGGGGGGAGGGGCGGGGCAGGGACAAGTCTCACAATTTGGAAGGGAAGAGAGTAGATCCTAAGACTCCTCATCTCGTGGAAGAAATGTTTTCCTTTTTTGTGTGTGCCCGTATGAGACGATGCTAACTGATTGTGACAATGATTTCACAGTATGTGGAAGTCATACCACTTACACAGTGGTCCATGTCGATTATATCTCAGTAAAAACTGGGGCGGGGCAGCTGGGGGGCATTGGGGGGTAAAGGTCGCAAAGACCCAGACTTGATTCCTGGCACTACCACGTCCTAGCTGTGCGCCTTTGGGCAGGGTAGGAGCAGTCTCTGGGTCGTAGTCCTCATCTGGGGACGGAGCGAGGGGCGCCAGCAACTTCAGGACAGAATTCTCCGTGTGGGTGCCAGCGCTTGCCTAGCCTCTTCCAGCCAGCACGCCCCCTGGAGGCGGCGAGTCTCCATCCTTGCCTGCACCTCAGCATCGCCCAGGAAGCTCTCTAAATACTCCATTTTTAAAAAGGTATTTTCAGAAGCTCCCCAGGTCAGGGCTGAGATCCGCTCGCCAGTCTCCAGTCTCACCAGGTTAGGTGTGGTCCGGCAGCAGGGACACGGCTGGGGGCTTCTTAGAAATGCAGACTCCCGGGGCCCCACCCCAGCGCCTGCCCTGCTGAGCCAGAATCTGCATGTTAACGAGAACCCTAGATGATTCCACGCCATGCCTTATGTAGTTTCCGTAAGTACACTCTGATGGTCTGAGAAGCACGTGTGTAAAGGTGGGCACTCCACCTGTGAAACCACAGGGTGGAGGCCAAGTGAGAAAGTAGCAAAATGAGCTCATCCCAGCCTTGCTGAGAGGCATGGCGACTTCCCGGGCCGATCCCATTCCTAGGGAGAAGACGCGAAGGGCTACTTTGCAGAGGCAGGGAGCAGGGAGGCTGGACCCCATCCGTGTTCGAGAGAAAAACAGTCCAGGCCTCCAAGCGGGCGGGGTCAGGAGCGGCAGGTTCCTAATGACGCGGACGAGGTGATTGCGCACTGATCTGCGGCGGCCCTGCCAGCGCCGCAGCGCGGCCCATGCTGTGGGTTTCCCAGGGAAGCTGCTGAAAGCTTCCCCGGGGGGTTAGAACGTGGGCAGAGGGGGAGGAGGGGAAGAAGAGACGGGGAAACGGGAAACGAATAAGCAGCAAACTCAAAAGAACGTCCCTGAGCCCTGCAGACCGTGCTCGTCCCCTGGCCTGGAGCTTCCGGGTGGTGCTGTGTTCCTTCCTCGGCCGGGACTCCCCGGACACGGCACTGTCAGGCTTCGAGGGGCTCACTCTCCAGTCTCGGGCACGAACAGGAGGAGGGGCACAGCCCCCCTCGGCATGAGGGTGCACGCAGAGGGCCCACGGTGGTCCTCTGGGCATCGTTTTCCGGGAAGCGGAGAGAGGATTTTGGGCTCCGGGTGAACTTCGTGGATCTCCTACCTGCCCATCCCCTTTCCCGAGACCAGGCTGATGGTCTCGGTACCAGGTGTGTCTTGCCCCTGACCCTGTAAGGGTGGCCCAGCACAGGTGTGGGTGCTTGGCACTCGGCCAGAGGACTCTGTCCTCACGCTTGGCAGGGAATCAGGGACAACGTGGAGGCTGGCAAAGGTGAAGGCTGCGCCTCCCAGGTGAGCCATTAGCAGGCTGCGACATCCCAGGGTCCTAGGCCAGGTGGGAACACCGGTGTCATCACCTCCTAACTTCCCGCTGGGTCCAAAGGCAAAAGAAGTTATCTCAGGAATTGCCAGTGGGCCAGCCTGCCCTCCAGTGGTGCCGTGTAGCAGCTGCACGTTCCCTGCCCACTTTTCACAATGCCCAGCGGCTTTGGAGGAAGGCGTCCCTGCGATCGGCAGGCAGGTGACCAGGAGGGGGTGCTGTTCTCCTGTCATTTCAAGCATCTCTCCATCTCACCTGATATTGAACCCTAGAGGAGTGGGGGGAGAGGGGCACTAGCCTGTAAGCTACCTCTTCATCCCAGGGACTCTGCATACCTTGCTTCCCTGCCCCTCCAACAGTCCTGGGGGCTGGGGACTGTTACTAACTCCTGTACAGAAGTAACACTGGCTTCGAAAACAGGCAACAAGGGGTCGCGTCATAGTCCATCCTGTGCCCATCTGACTTTTCAAAGTCACGTTTCTAATGCCCCACCTGCCAGTGGAAACCTGAGCCAGAGGTTTCCAGCCTTTCGCAAGAACAAGGCAAGCAGCAAATGGGGATACATTGGGGAGTGGCGGGGACTGCGGAAAACTGAGGGGTCTCTGCCACATCCAAAGGGCACAGTCACAGTAGTCCAGCAGGGTACCCTTGGGTGGGAATGCTGGACTAGCCCCTAAGGGAAGCTGAAAGTCTGGATTTTTATGTAAAAGTTCTCAATTTTAAATACTGACAATTCAGAAAAAGAGTTTAAATAAAACGCAGTCAAAGAAAGAAGGCTTCTAACACAGTGAGCTTCTAGAACATCCTCACGGGGGAGGTGAGGTCCAGAGGAGATGACTTGCTCGTGATCACATGACCACACAGGGACCGAGCACGGCCTTGACCCCCTGTCTCCTGACTCCTGGTCCTTGCTCCGAGGTCTGCTCTGCCCTCTGGGACCCAGGGCAGGGAGTGAACCATGTCGAACCTTGTCGGATTTGGTGATTCGGTGGGACACGCCAGACTCAGACCAGAGGCTGGGAAACCACACGTTTATTGGTCACACTTGACTTAGAGTGTACGTGGCAGGGACACCCCTGTGCCCTCCTGGGAATAACAACAACACTGGGAGCCCCGGGTGCTCTCCCGGGTGCCCTGAGGTAGTGGCTGTGCCCCATGGCCTCGCCTGGCGGTCTCGGCAGGGCCCACCCCTTGCCCTCACACCAGCCTCGTCCCGTACACAGGGCAGGCTGGGCCCATCCGCTCCCCAGGCCGAGCTGGCTCTCCCTGGTCCTGCACCCACAGTCCTTGCAGGCCAGCATGTAAGGGGAGGGGGCACTGGCTTACAGACGGGCAAACTGAGGCTCGAGGCAGGAGGGGACTCATCCACCAGCCTCGTGGCTGAGTCCCCAGCTTGGCCCAGAGGCCTGGCCCTCGGGCCACCGGGCCGGGCCGGGGTCAGACACGTTCCCCATCCCAGTTCTGGGTGGAAGACATTCTCTGGCTTAGCTGCCTGGAAATGCAATCTATATATACATACATACCTGGTTTTAAAAAAGTAATAAATTAGATCTCGGACCAGCCCGAGGGCCCCTGGCCAGCCACCTGTCACACGACATGGACATTTGTTAGGTACGTCCTGCCACCTGTGGTGCTAGGACTCGTGCGTGACACTGAACTACAGGCCACGCTGCAAGCTCCATGAACTGTCACATGGGATTCTGCCACATGTGGCCTTCCGTGCCACGCATCACATCACGCACACGCTCATCGTGCCGCCTGTCCGTATTGGCCACGCCTGTCCCCTGGAGTGTGGGATGGTCTACTGGCTGTTCCAGGCTCCTGTTCCCCAGAAAACTCCTCTCTGGATACTGTGACTGGACAGACGTGTCCCTCCGTCCTGGGGCCGGGTGCAGGGGCACCCAGCTGAGGCTCCTTCCGAGCCCTCCGAACTGGCGGAGGGAAGTTGGCATCACTTGGCTGGATTCAAAGTGTCTTGCGGTGGCCACATCAAGGACCCTGAGGAGCCTGCGGCTGGTTGGGGAAGAAAGCAAAGTCCAGCCTGGGCTCACGGCTCTGCAGACGCTGGGCCTCATCGGGCGAGATGTGGTTATTCCAGAGCCTGCGGGACGGACACACGGACACTCAGCGCTCATCCTCTCGTCTCTGCCCTCAGTCCTGTCTGCAGACCGGGAGGCCAGGGCCCCAGGGGAGGAGCTGTGCCCGGAGTTACCCGCAGGGCTGCCCTGCGGAGGTGGCGTTCCCCACCCCCACCCGACTTCTTCCACTCCCTCTCCTTCCCTGACAGCCAGAGACGCAGCCGGTCCCACTCCCATGACACATTGCCAAACAGGGGAAAGGTTCCCCTTCCTGAAGATGCTTGACTTCTGTCGTCTGACATTGTCACCGCACATTGATTTTTACAGAGCAAACACTACACCGCTATCTGCTGGAAGCCTGACACGCCCACCGTGTGCACGTGCCCCTCAGCCGCGAGGCCGCGTGGGGTGCCTCTGGTGAAGGCTGCTGTGGCGGGCGCCACCTGTGTGGCAGGGAATGCACACAGCGCTTTACACAGCCGCTTAGTCCTCACAGCAGCTCTCCGAGGGGAATACTCTCCGTACCCCCATTTCACAGATGAGGACGTTGAGGCTCAGAGAAGTTCAGTTATTGATGCAGCATCACACAGTCGGCAGACGGCAGAGCTGGGGTGTGACCCGTCTGCTGGGGTCCCCCTGCTGCCACATTCTCAGTGGGGGCGTTCAAGTCTCATTGATTGTCCCCAGCCCCGGCCCTGCCTCTGTCTACAGGGCGTCCCCGCACCCTTTGTAAGGGTCGGTGAGGTCTCCCACCCACCATTCCTGCCCCTGCAAGCCCGTTACCGGATGACTTGGATGCCAGAGGTCTGTGCCAGCCCTTCAGCCAGGAGCCCGGCTCCGTGCGCTGTGATCCGGTTCTTCTCCAGGCTTCCCGACGCACCGCAGCGGAAGGGGAAGACAGAGACTGGCGTGAGGTGGGGGAGGCTTCCCGAGGTCCCTCCCTGGGCCAGGATGCTTGAGAACCCAACAGACTCAGTACAACAGGCAAGCAGCAGGCAGGGCCCCGGGGGAGAGCCAAGCTGGGCAGCGACTTGGAGAGAAGGGCAGCGAGCGGGTCAAGGAGGGCTTCCCACGAGGCACGGGCCTGACCCGGCGGCCTCATGGCTTTCCCCAGGCCTAGCCCCCCTGTCCCCGCCCCCTGCCCCGGCCCAGGCCCCCAACAATGAGGTGCCCCTCATACTCCACTCTCTTCAGCCGCTCCATCCGAGGCAGGACCTGGGCCAGCGCGGCGGCCGCCTCGTCTCCAAGCAGATTCCAGGACAGCCTGCGGGGCAGGGGCCGGGGTCAGCCCGAGGAGGGCAGGGAGGGGCACGGGTGGAGACAAGGTGGCAGGTGGGGAGGGCTGGGGCCAACGGGGAGGGGGTGGTTCCCGATGGGGTGCTGGTGTGCCCCGAAGACTCCTCAGGGCGGGCAGGGGGCTCCCAAGCTGTTGCCAAGCTGATCGCCCCTCAAGAACCCCGACAGCGTAGGGCCTGCGTCTCCCGGGAGCTCGGAACCCTCAGTTTGCGGAAACAGGGTCATCACAGTTGCGCCCTGCGGCTGCCTCCGTCGTGACTTGTGTCCCACCCACGCACCTCTTATATCATCGTCTGTTTCATATTTTCCCTTAAATCGGCTCTCCCTTCCCTCCTGGTTTTTAACTTTAAGAAATTGATCTTAGGAAACATTTATCGCTACTGCCAACAGAAAGCCTATGGGGAGGGCCTGAAGGAGAAGGTGGTTACAAGGATAATAAGCTCAGGGCAAACTACAGTATTGACTTCTCGCTGGAACCTGCATCCTCCCTAAGCTGCCGAGCCTGTGGGCCGCCCCCTGCTGGCCAAAAAGGGAGACTCAGCAGTGTTAGCTGTTCAAGAAGAGTTGGCACTGATGGGAGACTTTCTCTTTGGTGTCAAGTCATGAGAAGCATTAAAATCTTTAGGGCGCAAACCTAGAATTTTATAATCACCGTGCCCTGTGCTTTAGGAAATCACGTTTTTCTCCTGTACAGTAGCCAAGGTCCTGGGCTAGTTTACCCATGAGGCCATGCGGCAAGGCCCCAAGGTTGGGCGTATTTCATTGCCAAGGGCAGGGGGTCGGGAGCAAGGCCAGTGGGCAGGTCGGGGCCTGCTGGCTTCTGCCGTCCTTCACAACCAACGGGTGCTTTGTAAATCAAAGTTCCATAAAGCAGGCGAGGTGGTCTATCCAGCCACCCTCAAAGGGAAGGTCAGGGGCAAAGGGCCTTTAGAGACTGTCTGGTCCAGGTCCCCTCCTGCTACCCCCCAGGTGGGGACACAGGCGAGAGGCTGAATGACTTGGCCCAGCTTCCCTCGCAGCCCAAGTGTCAACACTTCCTCGAGGGGACACTTCCGCAAGGATGGCCTTCCCCACTTAGAAGCGGGAGGACCCCTGGGAGCCAGGGACGGGTGCCCGGCCGAGCAGCAGGCTGTGGCCCAGCCGCGGACGCCAGAACTCACAGGATCTCCTCCAGGGCCGGGCAGAGCTCGAAGCGGGTGGTGAGGGGCCTGGCAGCCTGGTCGTCGATCTCGCAGGAAACCAGGCTAGGGGAGGGGGAGGGGAGGGGGTCGGAGGGAGGTTCCTGAGGCCAGGGCTCCTCCCGAGCCCCCCTCCCCGCCTCGCGGGGGGGCCCTGTCCCCCTACTGTGAGTGTCGAGGAGTGCGGGCCCTCCACCCTCAGCCCCAGCTCCCCGGGTAGGGGGGAGGCCGCTTACTCGATCTGCCTGAGCAGCGGGAGCCTCAGACGGAGGTGCAGCACCTGTCTGGCCAGGTTGTTCTCCGCCAGGCTGCAGGGCAGAGAGACACCTGTGAGCAGAGGCCCCCCGCCACCCCCCCGTCAACGCTCCCGGTTCACCCCGCACCCCAGGGTCCACCGCTCCTACTCACCTGATCTCTTCCAAGTGTGGGCATCCATCCAGGGCCTGGCCCAGGCTCAGTGTCCCCAAGGGGCCCAGACGGCTGGACCGCAGGCTGGGGAGAGGGGAGATGGTGAGAGGAGTCTTGGGGAAGCAGATGTGGGGGGTGGGGGGCTGGATCCCAGACTCACAGCCTTGTCTCAGGCTGTACTGCTAGAGCTTGCTTAGATGGTCTCTGGGTAATGGCCATCCCAAGCCTCTTCCCTACCCACCCAGGGCCTGACCCACCCATGGGGGATCAGGGGCCCTGGCTTCAGAGTCCGAGATCCCAAGTTCAAGGCCTGGCTCTTCCATGTGTTAGTAAGGCAAGCCCTGCACACCTCTCCGGCCTTCAGTTCTGCTGCCTGGACATGCAGCAGCTAGAAGCCCTGGCCCCACAGGGCTGCTGCGAAGGCTCCGATGAGACCAGGGCTGCCAACTGTTAAAGTGCCAGGGCCATGCTGCGTGGCACGTTCCTCCAGCCCCGGCAAAGGGCGAGGCTCGCTCGCTCCCCCTCAGAGACCGGATCAGGGCACGCTGAGCTGGGATCATTGTAATCCTGCTACAGACGAGGAAACTGCGACTCCGAGGGCAGGACCTTGGCCATGGGCACACAGGGGCTGGTTGGCCGAGCCGGGACTGGGCTGGGGCTCCTGATCTTCCTGCCCCACACACCAGAGGCAGGGCAGGAGCAGGCGGGAGAGGGGGCAGCTAGCCCCAGAACATGCTTGTTTGCCCAAAGCCAGGGCAGCGCGACCGAAGGGCCTCTTGACCCCCAAGCGCTCCGGAGAGACCCCACCCAGCTAGCCCTGCACACACCACAGGGAGGGGACACTCACTGTAGGACTCTCAGATGCCGGGGCAGCCTCCGGGCCAGCCTCCGGACTGTGAGGTCCTCCAGGGGGTTGCGGCTGAGCCTGGAGGGAGACAGGGGCGGAGGCTGAGCACCAGGCTGGCCCCTCCAGACCCTTGCCCTGTGCCAGCTGGGCTGTGGGGGACACTCACATCAGCTCCTCCAGGTGCTCGCAATAGGCGAGGGACTCTGCCAACCGCTCTCCCCCTCTCGGGCCAATGCCATTCGCTGAGAGGCTGAGGAAGGGGCAGACGTCAGATCCTGGACCCCCGTTTTCCCCACCCCTCACGGCTGCTCGGGCCCTAGGACACAGCATCCCCGCCACCCACCTCCCAGCCTGATGGGGCAGAAAAGCCCGGAGAGGGGCAGGGGCTGGGCACTGAAGGTAAGGGAGGAATGGCAGCTGCCTGAGGCAAAAGCCAGCGTCTCCCCAGACCAGGGGTGGCCACAGAGGGCCCCTGTCGGTTGGTGGGGCTGGCCACTCACTCGATCTTCCGGAGCTCAGGCAGCATGGGCAGGATGTCGGCTACGTGGTGGGCACCACTGTCTCCGATCTGGTTGTGGCTCAAGCTTGGAGAGAGGACAGCAGGACTGGAACCACCAGCCTGCCTGCCCCCGTCTCATCTGGTCCACATCCCCTTCCCAGACCAGGGAGAGGCTGGCGTCTAGAGAAGGGCCTGGGCTCGTGCGGATCAAGTCCCCTCACACTGTGTCGGGTGACGACTCCAAACTCTTGAGATGTTCTGCCTGATGTCTGTGTGCCCTAAGTCCCTCCTGCTGCAGCCGACACCCTCACCTCCTATCCTCGTGTCTCCCAAGGTTCTGCGTCTGGGGCTACACAGCGTAGGAGTGGGCGAAGGGGACGAGTGTCACTAATCAGTGACGAATGTCTTCAAGAAGCCCCTTGCTGTGGTCATCTTCCCCCACCCAAGCTGTCTTGGGTCTGGGGTGGGGAGGGACAGACAACTCACCTCAGTTCTTCCAAGCTGGTGGCATATCCGAGAGCCATGGAAAGGTGGTAGCAGCCGCTGTCATCAATGCCATTCCCACTGAGGCTGGAGAAGCAGGGAAGAGGCGAGAGGCCCTCGTCAGGAGCGAAGGGCTTCTCGGGTGCCGTGCTAAGAACGCTACAGCTTGCAAAGCCTGTACGTCCGTCCGTCATAGAACTTCGGGGGGAAGGAGGACAGGCAAGGTGCGCACGACTGTCCCCAATGTCCAGGTGAGAAAACAGAGGCCTGGGGAGGAGCTGGGGCTAGTTTAAAGAGTCTCAGTGATTCCCAGGCCTGGCGGAAGTGCAAGCTCAGGGCCGCTGGCCCGGGAGCCGAGGCCACATGTTGGTCAGGGGTCGCCCGGCCAGCCCGGCGGAACGCCAGTTGCCCTTGGGCCCCGCAGTTCAGGTAAAGGGTGTCTCGTCCCCAGGCGTCTTTTTCTAATCTGTGCAAGCAGTGGGCTTCCCCCGAAACCCAGGGATTGTCCCTTTTGAGCCCCAACGGAGCCTGCCTCTGTTGAGTGGGGAAAACTAAAGCCGATGCGAGCCTAGCCCACGTTAAATACTCATCGGAGGGCTGTTTCCTTTTGCAAGTTCAACTTTAGCCAACTGCCTTCTGCTCAGTTAGGTTATGGGTGAAATGACCTGCTCCCTCATGCCATGCTCCCCCAAACCCTCTGACCTCATTTCCTAAGCACTCCACCCCACTGTGGGGCGGGGGTGGGACTCGGATGAAAACAAAGCAATGCCTTGTGTGTCCTGATTGGGTTTGTTTTTAGTTATCATGTTTTACAGTTTGAAAAGTCACATGAAAAGAGTATGTGATATTTGGTTATCAAAGTGGCCAGGGGCACAGGGGGACACTGTCGAGGTCGTCAGCTCTGAGTCTGGACCAGCGGTTTTCATCTGGTGTGCCTCAAACGAAAATTGTTTTAAAGATTTTATTTATTGCCCTGGCTGGTGTAGCTCGGTGGACTGAGTGCTGGCCTGCGCACCAAAGCATTGCAGGTTCGATTCCCAGTCAGGGGACATGCCTGGGTTGTGGGTCAGGTCCCTAGTGTGGGGCGCACAAGAGGCAAGCACACATTGATGTTTCTGTCCCTCTCTTTCTCCTTCCCTTCCCCTCTCTCTAAAAATAAAAAAAAAGAATTTATTTATTTATTTTTAGAAACAGGGAGCAAGGGAGAGAGAGGGAGAGAAACATGGGCTGGTTGCCTCTTGCATGCTCCACACTGGGGGACCTAGCCCACAACCCAGGCATGTGCCCTGATGGGGAATCGAACCAGCAGCCTTTCAGCTCATGGGCTGACACTCAGTCCATCGAACCACACCAGTCAGGGCTGCAAGGATTTTTAAAACATGCACTACCTGACTATATAGGCAGGGGCAGTGACCTATTTTTTTCCCTTAGATTGTCAAATAAAAAAATGACAACAGCTAACACAATGGCTGGCTGTTCGGTATAAATGAATAAAAATTATACTTTTTTTTTTTTACATATTGGAAACTTTTTTTTTTTTTGGCGTGGGAATGCATTAGAGACGCAGGATCTAGGCAACCCTGACCCACAGAACCAATCAGAAGTGTGAGCCAGAGCCAGGGTGAACCCTGCACATGAGACATTGCTCTAGGACTTGGCCCCAACCCCCCAGGGTCACTTCTGTAGCCAGGAGGAAGCTGGTGGCATTCAGGGGCAAGAGCTGTGGCACCCACCTGGCAGGACATGGGGATGTCCCAAAGACAGGAGCACAGGGGGTCCTCAGGGAGGTGCCCCAGTGCTTCCTGGGGCAGGGGTCCCGACAGAGCTGGGTCCTCCCACTCACTCCCATGGGGTCACACAGTCACTCACCAGAGGCTCTGCAGATGGGTCATGTGGCGCAGTGCTTGAGTGAGCACAGTCAGGGTGGAATTTTCCAGCGGGAAGTGGCTGAGGCTGCAGGAGGAGAGGCCAGAGGAGACTTGGCATCGCTGGGGTCAGGCCCCAGGTGCAGAGCGAGGCCCGTCCAGGGCAGTCACCTGAGGCCTCAGTGCCCGGCGATGCCCAGGGACCGCCAGGACGGACACTGCTGTCTACCCAGTGAGAAGGACTCATGCGCGGCAAAACTGCCCTGGGGAACCTAAACACCGTTCCTCTGCGCGGATCATTCCGAAGGCCCTCCCAGCGGCAGTGCTATTTCTGAGTCGCACTGGGCCCAGCTCCTGATCGGGAACCACAGCGACCACACATCCAGCATACCCTCGGGGCCGAGCCCTGCGCTCGGGGCCCTCTGGACAGGTGGGTCTGTCATCGCCCCCATTTCACAGGCAGGGAACACTGAGGCTCAGGCAGTTACAAAGCTCCTTCAAGGTCACACACACAACGTGTCGGCATCAGAAACAGAACCCGAGGTTGCAGGACTCCCATTCCTGGGCCCCAACATGGTGTTACTCATGGGGCCCCCGTCCTCCAGGCCCCCAGCCTGGGCAGGAGAAGAAAGTCATAACAGTAACAGCCCCTACTTGTCTGGTGTGAGCTCTGCGCCAGGCCCTGTTTCATAACATGTGCTCATCGCACTTCATGCTCACGACCACCCTAGGAGACAGGTACAGCGATCATCCCCCAAGTTAAAACACGGAGAAAAGCACAGAGAGGTGAAGTGACTTGCCCAAGCTCCCAACAGTAAGGGGTAGCGCTGAAAGGGGACAACTGTCCTGGTTTGCTGGGAACGGAAGGTGTTCTGGAACGTGGGACTTTCCGCCCCGGGCGAAGCGGGACAGGCAGTCGCCCCACCAAGCACTGAACCTGAAGGGTCCGGCCGGTTTTCCGACCCGCCACACTCTCCATGGCTCAGGTGTCCCGACTCGCTCCGTAACTCGAGACTTAATCGGAGCTCTCTCCCATCTCACACGGTGGGCACCTGGCGCCAGCCGCAGTGGCTGGTGGTCAGACCGACCTTCCTGCCCCGGGGAGCGGCCCGGCCCTTCACCTGACCCCTGGTCCTGACTCCCATCCAGAAAGCCTGAGGCAACCGCCCACAAGAACAAGAGACTAACCCCTCCCCTGTTCCCCCAGGACCCCCGCCCCTCGCCCACCCGGACTCAGTCCCCCTGCACTGCAGCGTCAAATAAAGGCACTTGGGGCAGACCATCCCGCTCCTCCTGCTCTCTCTCACGGGCACTTCTAACAGAACCCAGGTGGGGCGGCGCCTAACCAGGGTCCACGCCCCTCACCATTTCACTTCGGAGGGACAGGTGGCAGGGTGTGAGGGGAACTGCTTGTCAGGGCGGAGCCACCCAGCAGTGGCACAGATGAAGCTGGACGGGGCAGCCCCTCTAGCTCCGGGCCCTGGCTCAGGGGCCCAGCTGAATGCCTATCCGTCACACTCTCGAAGGAACCCAACCCATGAATGACCTCACTGGGCCTCCAACCCTCCAAATAAAAGCTTCCAGAAGGTGGGAAGGCTGAGCAGAGGGGCAGGCACAGAGTGGGGAAGCCAAAGGAACAGTTGGGCGGGAAGACAAGGGAACCTTGAGGCCAAAGGTCTCCCTCATGCCGCGCCCCCATCCCTGGGACCAAGAGGGCCGAAGTGGCAGAATGTCACTGTTAGTCGGCACCAAGGCAGAAGGCTATTTTTAAACTGCATTCAAATCAAATACAACAGTTCTGGAGGAAAGTTCACCAACTGCTCTTTCACGGAAGTTTCCCCGGGGGCGTCGCTCTCAGGGGAGTCCACGCCCTGTGTTTCATATTTCTGCCATGACGGAACTTTTTAGAAACTGTGTGTATTTTTGGTCACCAGAAGACCGTGGAGATTAAAAGCAGAAGATGCCCCGTTAAGCGTTCCATCTAGATGCTCCTAAGTCTGTGCAAGGCGGGGAGCTGTCCTCTAGACCGAGGCTGTTTCTGCTGTTTCTAAGAATCTGGGGACTCCAAATGATAGATGACAGTTAACCTGGAAAAACGATGGTGGGCAAACGGCAGCGGACATCTGTGGGTGTGTTTTCTGCCCAGATTCTGTTTCCTTGGGTTGTTAACAGCAGCCTGAAATACCGCGGCCTACTAAGCCCAGAGCACCGAGTGAGCCCGTGACCCAGATGTGGCCAATCAGAATGCACTGAGCTCAGAGCCACGGAGACTGAGTTAGGAATGGGCATGTGACCCGAGACTCAACCTGGGGCCTCCGAGGCAGGTTCTGGACGAAAGGTGCTCCCTCTGCCCGGAGCGGGAGGAAAGCAGGCCTGTAGCAGCAGGACGGCCTGCCTGAGGCTGCAGTCACGATGGAGAGCTGGATCGAGCCAAACCTGAAGTCAGTTGCCTTGTCATTTTTGGTGACGTGAGCCAATACGTTTCTGGCTTGGGTGGGTTGGAGTGAGTATTCTGTTTGCTGGGACCAAGCATTTTGATAGCGCCCAGAACCAGGTAAGGGAGAGAAAAGGAGGGCGTTCAGCTCACCGGGGTCCATTCAGGGGTTGCACAGTTGTTGTTATTATTGTTATTATTATTATTATTATTATTATTTTATCCATCCTCACGCAAGGACACTTTTGTTCATTGCTTTCAGACAGGAAGGGAGAGAGGAAGGGGGAGAGAGAGGCATGGGTGGGCTGCCTCCGGCAGGCACCTGGACCGGGATTGCGTGTGCCTGTAATGGGGACTGTGCACACCAGGGCCCAGGATTGTGCCCACAACCCAGGCGCGTGCCCGGACCGGGAATCAAACCCGCAACCTTTTGGTGACGGGGCGACACTCCAACCAACAGAGCCACCCTGGCCAGGGCAGACCTTGCACAGTTTGTGTTCACAGAAGATGCAAAGGTTCCTAGACATGCTCCCAACAGCGTTCCGCGCCCCGCCCCCCTCCGCCGCACCACCCCCCCCCCATATTAACCACACCACTTACTCGAGCCTCTTCAGATGGCGCTTGTTTTCCAGGGCTCCCTTCAGCACCTCCTCGCCCAGCTGACTGTTCGACAAGCTGTCGGGGACCAAGCATGAGGGGAGGGTTAGACAGGCCTGCCCAGCCCCTGGAGCTGATCCTAGACCACCCCTCCTGTCCAGGCTTCCGGGGGGCACTCCTGGCTCCAACAGTGGGGCTGCGGGGCCCTTGAGGAGGGGGACACAGCAGTCACAATAGACCCAGCTAAGAAATGGTGCTTTGGATGCGGCTACAAAAGAGGAAGGCAGAGCCGGGGGCACAAGAGCACCCCCCCAACACAGTGATCTTTTCTCTCCTGAGCTCTCCCTGTACCCCGATGCCCTCGGCCACCCTGGGCAGAGAAGGGGAGGGCCTGGAGAGGCACTGCTGTCTGCCCAGGGTCACTCTGAAGGACTGGTAACGCCGGGGCCAAGGACACAACATTCAGCCTTCCCCAGGCCACGCCCACAGCGGCTGGGCTCCGTCAGGGAGAAAAGTGACCCACTGACATCTACCCCCAGCCTCCCAAAGCCCCTCTGTCCTCCCCACCCCCAGCCCCCTCCACCCCAAGACTCACTCCAGCTCCTCCAGTTGGTGACAGCGGCTCAGACCAATTACTAGGTTGGCCCGACCCTCCGGGCTCACACAGCTGGAGGCCAGCCTGGTGGGGGTCAAAGGGCAGCAGGTCAGGCAGGAGCTCTGAGTATCATGGTAGAGGGCAGGGAAGTGGGTGGGGAGCGGTTCTTGGGGGGCACTGGGGGGGGCCTTCCTTTCTTTCATAAATCTCTCCCACCGTGGGGACCATTAAGTCAAGATGTAGCTTGGAGACAGGAGCATGGGCTAGCTCAGCATTTTCCTGCACCTTGGTCATTCCAGTGGCCACTTTACCACTGATGCCCCATAATCGGGCATTGCCAGTAAAGCCTGGCTGGTTACTGTCATGTTCCAGGAGCTCTGCGCCTTTATGTGAACAGTGAAAAAAGTAGCGAGTCCTGGAGAGCTGCTACAGATGCACTGGCAGCCAGTCGGATTAACACAGAACCCAAAGCTAGAAAAGCTCCATTTTGCAGCCATCATCCTGTAGCTGATTTCAGGCAAGAGCTTCCCAACGAATGCCAACATTCCAACACTCCGTGGGTGAACGTTTGAGGAAGAACAGGATGTTTACACAGTCTTAAAGTGTTTCCATGAAAGCGACGTGTTAATTAGAAAGGGAAAAGAAAGCTGCAGCTTGGCAACTGAAGAAACCTGGCAGAAACTGCCTTCTCCAGGTGACCACAGTTAACATCCCCAGGAAGGGGACACACAGACGTCCGTGTGCCTCCGGAGGTGACATGCTGAGCAGAACACAGTAGTGCATCTGTGATAGTCCTGCCCAAGATGCAGAACCTGAACTTCAGTGGGAGGAAGACACCAGACACCCAGGAGCAGAAGGACGGTTTACAAAGTAACTGACGTGTAAATGTCATGACAATATCGTGAAAGGCAGGGAAGGACGGAGGACCTGCTCCGAAGCTAGGGGAGGGTGCCGAAAGAGAGAGGACAGCGAAATGCAGTGTGTGACCCTGGATGGAGTCCAGGGCTGGAGGGGGGAAATGCCAGGAACCACATTGTTGCGACAACTGGCAACACCAGGCTCTCAACTGTAGTTTAGACAATAGAAGTGTAACTGGTGTTGAGTGTCCTCAATGTTATGCCTTCACTGGAATATGGGAGGGAGTGTCCTTGCTCTTGGGAAACCCACTGCAATATGAAGGGGTGAAGGGGCATCGAAGAAAGAGGGAGAGAAAGGAGGGGAGGGCTGAGGGAGGCGGGAGGGAGGGAAGAAAAGAACAAATGGGGGAAAAATGTTGACAGAGGATAAATTTAGGGAAATGATATATGGAAGTTCTCAGTCTTCTTGTAACTTTTCTATTAGGTTGTGATTCTTTCCAAATAATAAAGAAAAAGAAGAGAAAGGAAGGACGTGAAAAAGGGAATTACTTTCTTGCCATGTGACCATGTCTATGAGCACACCCCCGATGCCTCTCTGGGGCTGAGCTGGGGTCCCAGCCCACAGGGTTTGGACTCGCAGTTCCTGAGCTCAGGCGGGAGAACTGGTTAGTGGGGGCGGGGCGGGGTGGTGTGGGCCCGAGTGACAGTCTTGTCTGCCTACCGGAATTTCCTCAGCCTCAAGGACAGCAAGCTTTGCAGCAGCTGGGAGTTGGCCGTGCAGAGGTTTACCTGGGACAAGCTGGAAAGAGCCAAGCACATTCCAGAGGATCAGGGTGGATGGCCTCCGGGATCATCAATTGCTTCGAGGTGGGGAGGCCAAGAAAGGGTGCAGGACCACCCGAGAGCTGCCGGAGGGACAGGGCTCCCGTGTGCCACCCCAGAGCTGTCCCCACTGGCCAAGCGCAATTCTCTCCCGCACAGGGAAGAATGCCAGGGTCTGGCACTGCCCCCGGCTCTGCTCACCCCCATGCTGGCCTGGCCAGCCTCCCATGTGTGGCCTGAAGTGGGCACTGGGGCGGACCCGAGAAGACAGTTTCGGGGTGCTGACCTGAGCCGCTCCAGCGAGAAGCACGTGTGCATGAGCCGCCTGACGAGACGGTTGTGGCAGGTATCGAGGCCGAGGTCACAGTGAGCCAGCCTGGAGGGGGAGGGGGAGGCAGCATTCTGCACACAGCCGAGTCGGCATCAGGGACTCGGGCCCTGCCTGCGGAGACTACCTTCAGGGGGTTTGTGAATGCTAACCAAACACAGCCCCACGATGCACTAGATGTACTATTCAACTACGGGAGTGCTGTGCAGGAGAGGTGCAGCCGGGGAGCTGGCCTGGCCGTGCAGGTTGTCCGCTGCCTACGGGCACCTGGCCCGGGAGGGGAGCTGGGGCTGAGACCCAGCTGTGGTCTGTCTCCCAGAATGCATACTGCAGGACTGAGTTCCTCCCAAAGGGAGGACTTGACCAAGTCTTGGGGTTTGGAGGGGCCTTCCTGAGGGGGTAGTATTTAACCCGAGACCTGAAGGATGAGGGGCAGTTAGCCAACTGAAGGAGGCGAGAGAGGGGAAGAGAGGAGAGAACGTTCTGGGCAGGGAACAGCCTCTGCAAAGGCCCTGAGGTCCACAGGGGCGAGGTGGTCTTTGAGGAACTGCATGCTGGTAGGGAGGACTGGGGCTGAGCCTGGGGCTCAGGGTAGGGATGGACTGTGTGGGGAGGCGGATGAAACCAGACCTCAAGGTCCTGTAGGGACTTGGGGCATCCGAGGACTCTGAGCAGGGGCACGAGGAATGGTGCTCAGAAGCAGCGGTCCCCACCCCATCGCCAGGCACTCCCTTGGAGCCCCCGGTACTGGGTCTCACCTGAGGGCCATGGCCTCTGGGCTCTCTTGCCAAGGAAATCTCAGCTGGATGCAGAGCTGCTGCTGGGTCTCGGAGATACTGAGGAGGGAGGGGGTAGCTGGCGTGAGGCCCGCAGCAGCGCCCGGAGTCGGCTGAGCTGGAATCCAGGCTGCCCGGTCGGCTGGGCCTGAGCTCCCAGATCCCGTCACTCCCAGACACGGAGCCACGATGCTCTGTGTTCCTGTAACCCAGGGGCCGCTTCCAGGCAACCAGCGTGGGGGCCCAGCCAGGTCCCTGGCATCCAGCAGCCCTTTGCCCGCCTCTTTCCGGCCCCGCAGCCTGACTGCTGCACGAGCCTCAACAAGCATGTGTCCCCGTCCCATGTGTCCCTGGAGCACCTGCCATCTTGGGGACCCAGAGATCTCACAGGACAAGAGACTGATGTGTAGAGGAGGGCAGGTCCCGATGGTCACGAGAAGGCGAAGAGCTCCAAGGGGCCCCCTCCTTGGACTCACCTTATCTCGGTGATGCTGCCTAAGGTCTGGGCGCAGACTCGGCACAGGGCCAGCAGCCCCGCTCTGGCCATCCACGGCTCCTCCACCCTGTCACGGGAGCGGACACAGATGAAGGCCCCCCCACCCCAGAAGCGGTGGGAGGGCGGAGAGTGCTGAGGGAGTGCTAGAGGCTTTGGCGGGGGGCGGGGGGGGAGTGGCTTATCTTAAAACTATAAAATTATACAACCAGGCATAAGCATAACATGAAATGAACATTCCCATTCCAGTAGTTATGGCAACAATCCAAACAGCAAAATGTTATTTCTTTAATACTACTTTTTAGATTAAACGAAAGGTCTGCACAATGTTACACCGCGAAGAGAAGGAAATAAAACTGTATAAAAGATGATTCCAATCTCCTATTTGAAAAAGGGAACACTTTAAACATATATATGGGGAGAAAAAGAGAGAAGAGAGGAAAACATATTAAATGTTAATGGCAGCTGTTTAGATGGATGGTGGCATTCTCATGATGGATTTTATTTTATTTCCTCTTCAGTTTTCGATATTTTCTGGACTTTCTAAATGTGTATTCATTAACTTAGATGCACGGAAAGAGCTGTTTAAAATATTCCTACTTCTGAAGTTATATTGTATATTGTAAATAAAGTCCTATTTTCTTCTTAGGCTCTTACGGACTTTTCCACAAATGTCTACAAGTAACATACATTATTTTTAGAGTAAGAAAAGGTGTGTTTTAACATGTCACTTTGGGTGATCCAGCAATTCCGGGTACAGACCCAAAAGAACTGAAAGCAGAGACACAGAGAGCTATTTGCCCGTCTATGTTCACAGCAGCCTTATTCACAAAAGCCAAAAAGTGGCAGCTACCCCAGTGTCCCTCGTGGCTGAGTGGTAAACAAAATGCGGTCTGCCCACACGTGGACTGTTAGGCAGCCCTAAATAGAAAGAAAACGGACACAGGCTACCACACGGCCGAACCCTACGCCCGCCCAGCCTGCTGAGTGGGAAAAGCCGGTCACGAAGTGACCAATACCGCACAGGTGCACTTCCGTGAGGTTCCCAGGGCCATCACAGCCACAGGGACAGAAAGGAGGGTGGTGGCTGCGGGGGGCTGGGGGCTGGGGGAGGGGACAGGATGGGGCACTGTTTAGTGGGGGCGGAGTTTCAGCTTTGCAGTTTCAGTTCTGGAGACTGGTTGAGTGTCCTCAACATCACTGAATTAATTGAATGCACACTTAAAAACGGCTAAGGTGGCCAGTTTTATGTTACTGTATTACACCACGATTTTTAAAAAAAACGTTATTTGGGGAGCAAGCAGACTTGGTGTGCCTCGTCCCAGGCCGCAGTGAGAAGGGACCAGCACTGGACCCGAAGCTTCTGGTTCTGACACGAACACGTAACTGAAGCACAGCCAGCCTTTCCGCCCCCTCCCAGCTCCAGGACAGCCAGGGGTTAGAGGGGCGGGCTCGGTGACATGGACGGGGCCGCCAGACAGGGCCGGAGCGCGGGCCAGCGTGCGGCACGGCAGGCCGGTTTGGTCGGCAGGCCGCTGACGTGGAAGAGGAACTTGGGGGCGGGGTGGGGGGTGGGGGGGATGGGACACAGAGGAAGAGTCCTGCGAGCCACCCCCCTCCCCCACCCCATGCAAGTGTGAACCTTGACTGGATCCTGGGTCCAACAGGCCACCTGTCCCCTGTGGGTACCAAGGGACATTTTCGATTGGACCGGGGAGTACACGACACTGAGGAATTGCTACTGAGTTTTGCAGGGGGCCCTCGTTGAACTGTGCTTATGTAGAAAATGTCCTTATTTTTTAAAGATTCATGGTGAAATATTTGAGCGATATTTTATGAGACCTTCAGCCAAAACTGGGCAAGCGAAGCCAATTTGGAAAAATATGAACCATCGTCAACCCTAGGTGATGGGAACAGGAATTTTCAAAAACGATTCTACTTTTTGGTTCTCTTCTCTCTTTTCCTGGAAGTTTTAGACAAAACGACCACAGTGAAGACGCAAGCAAACATGGTGTTTGCGGGTGTCACTCTGGACCTCAGCTGGGCGTCCCCTGGAGTTCTGTCCTTCCCAGTCCCCCAGCCTAGGCCCCGCCCTGAAGAGCGGGGCTTCTCTGAGTGCCTGGGGGCGGGGGGGGGGGTCTCTGGGATGAAGGGGCAGGGTCCGCTCTGTGACCAGGTGGCAGGGCTCTGGGTGCAGGAAGTGGCCAGGGCCTCTACCCAGGGGGAACCCACACTCCAGAGCCCACCCCTGCCCCCCGCCCTGCCCCCAGGGGCCCAGAGGAGGACGCTACCTGAGGCTGAGCAGTCCCTCTGGCCTCACCAGGCTCAGGAGGAGAGCGAGGTTGTCCTGGCTCAGGCAGCACCGGATCAGCCTGGGGACAGACACAGGTCTTAGCGGTGGCTCTGCTCCGGGAGGGAGCCCCGCCCCTCAGCTGCCCCGAGGGCTGGGCCCGGTCACTCACTCGAGCTGCATCAGCTGCCAGGCCTTACTCAGGCCCGCGGCCAGTCTGGTCATGTGCTCGGGTCTGAAGGTGCACTCGGTCAGCCTGAGGGCGGAGGAGGGCAGAGCCTGGGTGGGGCCTGTCCAGGCCGCAGTCCTCCTTCCTCCCAGTCCGCGCCCCCAGGACGTAGGGGGCCCCAACTGAGTGCAAAGGCCCGGACAGGGGCCTGAGAAAAGGCCAACGGTGCAGCTCCTGCCCTGGGAGCTTCCTGTCTTTCTGGAGGGCCCGGCCTCGAAGGAAGCGCGCGGAGGAGGCACGTACTGAGCCCAGACTGCAGGCCGGGCCCTGCGCCAGCCTCGCAGGTGAGCAAGGCGAGCCCGCCTGACCCGTAGAATCTCACTGAGCTCCAACAGCTTCGTTTACTGGCAGAGCAACGGGCTCATCCGGGGACCCGGAGCCGGTCAGAGGAGAGGCAGAGCTGGGTTTCAGTCCAGCTCGGCCTGACCCCGGCCCCGAACCCACGACCACCCCCAACTCGCACTTCGCGCCAGGCTCCCTTGGAGGGAGGAGAGCCTGGGATTCTCCTGCGGCCCTGCCCCCAGGTGCCGGCTCCGCGGGGCCCGCAGACAGGCCCTGGGCCGCTGTCCGTGGACGGTTCATTCAGACAGACAGGGGCCCCTGGGGCTCTGCAGGAGGAGCTGACATTTGGGTCTTAAAGGACTGGGGGGCATTTCTTCCCAGGAAAGGCAGGAGCGAGCCTGTCGGGCCGAGTGCCGGGGGCAGGGGAGCTGCAGGAGGCTGCGAGCGAGGAGCAACACCCCTTGTGGCTGAATGTGTGCTGTGCGGATGGTATGCGTGTGTGCTGTGTGTGGTGTGGGTGTGTAGCGTGTGTGTGGTATGGGAATTGTGCGTGTGTGGTGTGCAAATTGTGTGGTGTGCAAATTGTGTGGTGTGGGTGTATATCACGTGTGTGCATGGGGGTTGGTGTGTATGGATGCCTGTGTGTTGTGTGCGGTTTGTGTGTTTGGTGTGTGTGCTGTGCGCCTGTGCGGTGTGGGGTGGGGTGTTGCGTGCACAGGCATGGTGTAGGGGTGAGGAAGAACGATGACATGACAGTCAAATCAGACTGCGAGGGAGACGACCAGGCTGAAGGATTTGAACTTTATCTTGGGGCCATGGGGAGCCCCTGCCTGAAGGGCTTGGGGCAGTGGAGCGGCAGGTGGGATGCGTGTGCTGGGGAGATGCCCCCAGGGGCTGTGGGGCGAACGGCTGGAGGGGGCCTGGCTGGGGGCAGTGGGCCAGTTTGGAGGCCACGGTCACAGCCGAGGTCAGACAGAGAGAGGAGCTGACCCAGTGCAGTGGTGGTGAGAGACAGAGCCCAAGGCTACTGTGGGGTAATAATAATAAATAAAAATAATAGCTGGTATAGCACTCAGATGAACCAGGCCCTTTGCAAGAACTTTGTACATTTTAACTCATTCCATCCTCACAGTGACCCTAAGGCGGGTGGTCCTACTGTTATCCCCATTTTACAGATGAGGACCTGAAAACAGAGAGGTTAAGTCACTTGTCCAAAGCCACACAGTGGGTAAGTGGTGGAGCTGGGATTTACGCTCAGGTGACGCAGCGTCCAAGCTCGGAACCGTGATACGCAGGAGCCCCCAGACTTAGAGTCAGGATGTGGGGAGGAGACTCAAATGCAGTGTGAAGGCCCCGCCTTGGGGCTGGAAGTGTGGGGTCTGGGGAGCAGGTGAGGGGCAGTGGGCATGGAGCCTCCACAGGGTCAGCCTCCTGTGTCCCCACCCCTCCACTCCCTGCCCCCCCGCCCCCTGCACCCCAGACCAGCAATTACCTCAGTGTCTTCTCAGTCTCCTTCTGTGGGGAGAAGTGGACCCAGAAGCTCTGCTCCGAGCCCAGGCTGCAGAGAGAAGGGTGTGGGGAAGCCAGGGGTCTGCCGGTACCCTCAGGCTCCAGGGGCCAGGGGGTGCCCGAGAGAAAGGGGCTGGGGCTCGGGGGCAAGCCCTTGCCGACCAGCAGAGACCTTCAACCCATCCCGTGAGCACACTAAAAGCTGGCCTTCCCACCCGGGGCCTCCCCGGTCCTCCTCCCATGGCACGCGGGTCTCAGAGTGAACTATGACACTCAGGCTGGCCCAAGTCACACCGACGGAGGCCACCAAGAGTGGGGGTCTTGCTTCCCCACCACCAGCAAGCGGCGCCACCCTCGGCTTACTTCATGGTGGCCTCCCGGACACGTGCGCAGGAAGGGAGTGTCTCCAACAGGCACAGGGCGCTTTCCTGGGACATGCTGTTGCCACTCAGACTGGAAGGGAGACAAGGTTCAGGGTGGGGTGTGTGGGCAGCACCTCTGTGGATCCCTTCCCAGCCCCCGTGTCCCTCCTCCAGCTGTCATCTCCCTGTCCAAGCGTTCATGCTGCCCGTGGTGACATGGAGGTCCAGAGAGAGAGAGAGAGGCCAGCGGGGCAAGAGAGACACCAGGCCCCGAGTCCTCAAGAGCTGCCCCCTCTGTGCCTGCTGTCCCTGTGGTCGGGGACAGGCCACTGGGGAGGCCAGGCTGGCAGCTCAGCCCACACAGAGCACCCAGCTGAGCCGCCTCGCAGTGGGTTGTATCCTGGCTCTGGCGGCCCGCCTCCCGGGTACTGAGGGATCGGGCGAGAGTGCGGATGACTTTTGGAGGACCCTCCTGTGGTGGGAACATCTCCAAATCTGTGACCCGTGGGTCTGATCAGAGGAGATTCAGGGTGCAACAGGAGCTGACACAGCTAAGCTCATGCCTCAGCTGCTTAGGAACGGTCTCCCTGCCTGGAGGCAGCTGGAGTCATCAGGCTTTAGTCGCAGCCTCTCCTGGTTGCCTGGTCGGGGCTCTCCCCAAGGTAGGCAATGAGAGGAGGAGGAATGGGCCGAAGGTGGGGAGGCATCAAGATAACAATCACCCCTTTGGTCCCCTTGCTGGTGTGGCTCAGTGGATTGAGCACCAGCCTGTGGACTGGAAGGTCACCAGTTTGATTCCCGGTCAGGGCACATGCCTGGGTTGCCGACCAGGACCCCGGTAGGGGGCATTCAAAAGGCAGCCAATTGCACATGGATGTTTTTCTCCCCCTTCTTTTCCCTCCCGTCTAAAAAAAAAAAGAATCCCCCCTTTCACCTCCCCAGTCTTTGTCCTCTGCAGTTCTCCAGGGATGTCTCAAAAGATCCCTCACAGCTCATGCTCTTGGCCCCCGGGAGTCCTCCTCTTTGCTGTCCCGTGCTGTCCCTGAGGCTCCCTGTCACTTACTTGAGTGAACCGGAGATGCGCAGCTGTGGCAGCCACTTCAGGAGGCACCTGAGCCCGTCATCACCCAGCTGGTTGGCAGAGAGGCTGCAGGAGGTAAGAGGGGGCGGCTGGCGGTCAGCTGGGTCTCCCCCATGGGGGTCTTCCCTCTGCTTACATCACTCTGCCCCCGCGGCACTCTCGTCATCACCTTCATGTCACCACCACCAGTCAGCACTGCCGGTGTGCCGGCGTCACCCATCGCCACCAGCTTCATCGCGTCCTCACTGCTGGCGTCACCACGCCCACCGCCACCCCCACCCCCAGCACTCCAGTTAACCAGTCCTCATCTTTCCCTTCCGCACCTGCCGGCTGCCCCCAGGGCTCCGGCGGGCTGCAAGACTTAGAGAAAAACCACCCAGCTCTCACTACGCCCTTGGCCTGCGTCCGCTGGGAGCGGCCATTGAGGATCAAGAATCAGTTTAGGAAAGAGAGGCTCGGGCACGAGTTTGCCCAGCAGAGTTCCTCTTTCGATTTGGGATACGGTGTCAGAAATGGCACTTGAACACTTTCTCACTTCCCATCGTTGTAATGTTGCGGTTTTCACCAGTTCAGAAACAATATGATCAGCGGGCTCTGGAATAGCTGATTTTTGTCCTGCGTCTTTGAATGCATATTGTTTCTGATGATGATACTTTTGAGGCTTGTTTATTTTGCCTTTTCCTGAGGAACTGTAAATACTAGTTTGTCTCATGAAGCCCCTTAATAATCTTTAACATAAGAAAAAGTATCTCTACAATGAAGAAAAAAAAACAACACACACACAGGCCCTGGTTGATGTGGCTTAGTGGGTTGAGTGTTGGCCTGGGAACCAAAGGGTCGCCCGTTCAATTCCCAGTCAGGGCACATGCCTGGGTTGTAGGCCAGGTCCCCAGCAGGGGGCACATGAGAGGCAATCACACATGGATGTTTCTCTCCCTTTCTTTCTCCCTTCCTTCCCCTCTGTCTAAAAATAAATAAATAAGATCTTAGAAAAAACACACAAAAACTCGAAGACACATTGCTTATTCCTCTTTCCTTAAAATACATGATTCCATCAGCCCTGTTTCTCTTCTTGGCCACGTCATGGCAGGAATTTAATTTAAAAAATTTTTTTTCTGTATACAGCTCTCTTGAACTCTAATAAGTCCTAAGCTGAACTCCTAACAGCTCTGGAAAGACTGCACTGTACTAGCTGTGTGACCTTGGACAAGTCCTTCAACTCTCTGCACCTCAGCTCGCCCACGTATAAAATGGGGGTGATAGTGCCCAGGTCCGTTGGAAGGATGGAAGAATGTCTAAGGATAAAAGAATATCCACTTAGAACAGTGGAGCAAGTGCTCCACAGGTGTTAGCCATTATTAGTATTTTTCTGCCCGTGCGTGGGCTATACTGTATGGGCACCCAAGACTGGCCACACCTCTCAATGGTACCAAGACTGGCCACACCTCTCAATGGTGGGTCCCCACCTAGCTGGCTCCCGAACCCTCCGCAGGCTGAGGCATTTGGTGCTTTCTACCCCCTGCCAGGCAAGCTGGTGGATCCTTCCTGTGAGTGCCCATCAGCCAGTAGTAGAGCTCCATTGTCTTGAATGCCTTGACCAACGTGAGGCCAAGGAGCTCCTGGGGCCCTTGTTGAGGGATCGAGGGCATGCTCTGAGTTAGCTCCACCGGGGCAGGAGTGAGGGGTTGGGAGGGACAAAATGGGTGCAGGGGAACTTTTAGGATGTGATCCAGAGTCCCGGGCACCCCGATAGCTGGTCCCGAGAAGTGCTGAGTGCACACACACATGGAGACACACACACACACACACACACCACCCTCCAGTGCCCTCCAGGTGCGTGCTCCCAAACTTCTGTGCCTGCTCTCCCCCTCCACCCACCACCACTTACTCCAGCTGGCTGAGGTCCTCACACTTCCTCAGAAACCAGCACAGTGTCTCCACGTGGTCCTGGCTGAGGCCGCAGCCCGTGAACCTGCTGGAGGAGGGGGAACAGGCTGGGACGCAAAGCCTCCCAGACCTGCCCAGCCCCGGTTCCTGCCGGGTGTGGGCTCACCCACGCTTGGACTCTCTGGAATATCTAGCAGCCAACGCTTGCACCTCCCCTACAGGAGGTCCCACCTGCTCCCCCACCTGCCCACGTGCCCTCTGGGGAGGCGGCTCTCCAAGGAGGAACTTGTGAAGATGTAAAGCCTGGGAATGCAGCCCAGACCCACTGAACCAGGAACTCTAGGGGCGACGGTCCCCAGGTGGCGGACTCAGGCTCCAGCTGGAGAACACAGCTCTGGGGGTCATTTTAATGAACAGACAGGGGTGGGGCGGGGTGGGGGTGGGGGAACAGGGCGAGGTCTGCTCTCACAGAGAGCAATTGATTTCAGAATTCAAAGGAACGGTGAATCTGCCCTTGAAAGGCCTAAAATGAGGCCATACACTAAGGCAAAGGGCGAGGTCGTGACCCGCCAGTTACTGGAAAAAAAAAATCTTAAAATCAGGATGTTTCTAAAATTAGTATTTCAAACTTTTAGCCGTTACTGTCCTTCACAGTTTTTCCCACAGCCTTAAATTCCCCTTTATGCTATTTTTACTTCCTGATTTTAAAGGACCTCATTCTTTCTATTTGATTCATGCATTGTGCATGGAAACCCTGTGTCACTTACGCCGGTGGGAAACCGGCATCGCATGCCACAGACAGACCTCGACCGCAAGTCATTAAGTCCCGGCCAGGTGCACACTCACACCTGCAGAGGGCTCGCTCGCTCTCAGGGCGGGAGCTCACCGCTGGGCGTTAAAGACCCACCAACCCTCTCGGGAACCTCTTCTTGGCCTTAGTCAGACGGAGGGACCAGAGGCCTCAGCAAGGACCCGGCGAAGTCGGCCTACCCTCTGTCCTACTCTTTGGAAACCGCTGACTTAGAAACGGCCAAGACATTCTAGAAGCCAGGGTAGTGTCGGGCAAGGATGGGGGTCCCCAAACTGCAGCTAAGGCCACCTGTTTTGATGTGGCTTGCAAACTAAGGATGATTTTTCCGTTTTCAAAAGGTTGAGGAAAAAAATCAAAAGAATGGTAGTTCATGACACAAACATGATATGACATTCAAGTCTCAGTGTCCGATCCACAGTGAGGCTGGCATGCGGCCACCCCGTTGCTGATGAACTGCCTGTGCCGCTTTTTGGTCACAGCAGTAGCGTAGCTGTGACAGACTGCGTGGCCCACAAACCCCCAAATATGTATAATCTAACCCTTTACCAAAATAGTCTGTCTGCCCTGGGCTAGGAGTGCTGCAGGGTGGCCTGGGCTCCAGTCCCCAGCTGCACCCCTTACCACACGTGACGGGCACAGCGGTCACAGCCGTGAGGTGATGAGCATAAGGCTCAGAACCGTGCCTTGCAGCCCTGGCCGGGTAGCTCAGTTGGTTAGAGCATCATTGCCTTGATTCATCAAGGTTGCAGGTTCAATCCCCGGTCCTGGGAACATACAATAAATGAATAAGTGGAACAACAAATTGATGTTTCTTTCTCTCTTTCAAATCAATCATAATTCAAAAAACAAGAGTGGTGCCTTGCAGATGATCAGCAAATATTAGCTCTGCTGTTTATTATTTCACAGCTCAGGAGGCTCTGGTCCAAGGCCTCTTGGGGAGCCACTGACATCAAATAGTTACCAAGAATGTTACCTCTGCATTCAGAGGTCACCATTCCGCACCATCACCCTGCCCCCAGCACAAGGCCTGCCCCTTCTCACGGGGACAACCACAGAGCCCCGGCTGGTCCAGGAGTCAGCAGGGGAGGGCCACTCGGGCCTCGGACACTCACGCCTCACTTAGCATCCGCTCGTCCAGTCCTTGCGGATGCCCGAGGTGGGGGCCTCCCCACTCCTGCTGCAGACGCTGAGGACCAGAGAGGTTTCGGAAACTGGCCCCAGTGCCAGGTCCTCGTGGGGCTGGGGTTTTTAAAAACATTCTTCAGTTGTATTTATATATTGATTTGAGAGAGAGAGAGAGAGAGATTTGTTGTTCCACTTACTTATGCATTCATGGGTTGTCATATGTGCCCTGACCTGGGATCAAACCTGCAACCTTGGTGCATTAGGATGATGCTCGACCCAACCGAGCTGCCCAGCCAGGGCCCTGGAGCTGGGACTTAAAGCCTGGAGGGCAGGTTGTGAAGTCCTTTTTCTCGAGTTCTTGCTTCTGGTCCAGTCTGATGTGTCCCTTGATAAAGGCCAGGCCTCTCTGGACCCCTGCTTCTTCACGCGGGAGAAATCAGGTCCCCTCGCAAGTCCTTCTGGGGGAACACCCTGCAGATCCTCTGCTGTCTGTCCTATCAGGCAGGTCGACTGGTGCCTGCTACCCACCGGCTGCTGGGGCATGGCCCCGGGGCACTTACCCACAGCACCCGCCTTTCTGCTCCTTGCTGGACTTGAAGGTCAGGGTCACCTCCTGCAAAGACCTGCAGCACACAGCACCTGGGTCAGCCACTCTTGACCACGGCCTCAGCATGCCCCCAGGAGGTACCCCTCCTGCAGGAGCCGAGCCTCTGCTTGGGTCCTACTGCCTGCATCTCACCCCTCACACCTCCCGACCTCAGGCACAACCCTCCAAGACTAGCCCAGCTGTCCCAGGGCAATGCCCACCTGAGGTCCACCTTCTGAACTTGTGGGCACAGGCTGAAGAGGTCAGCCAGCAGGACGGGGCTCCCTGGGGACAGAGGTGTCTGGCTCAGCCTGAGAAGGAAAGGGGCAGGACCCTAAGTCAGCAAGTTGGAGTCAAGCAAGATCCGTGGGCAAGGCCTTTGGCTAGGCTGGCGGGGAAGGAACCAGGGGGCGGGTCAGCATAGCAACAGGAAGAAGGCAGGGACTAGGGAGGGACACACAGGGACTTGGGGTCACACAGACTTGGGCTTGAGAGCCAGCTCTGCTTACTGGCTGTGTGTCCTTGCGTGAGTCATTTAAGCTCTCTGAGCCTCGGTTTCCCTACCTGGCCAGCAGGACCCCACTCATAGTACCCCTTCCTCTACAGGTGTCGGGACGATTTAATGACATCGAGTGTAGGCACTGCCTAGCCAGGGTGTCCAACTTGCGGTCCGTGGGCTGCTTGCGGCCCAACACAAAACCATACATTTACTTAAAACATGATGAGATTTTTTGTTGTTATTACATGTCACAGTGTATTCAATGTGTGACCCAAGACAACTCTTCTTCTTCCAGTGTGGCCCAGAGACACCAAAAGACCGGACGCCCCTGGCCTAGCCGACACCCCTGGGTGCTAACACACTGTTTCTCCCCTGGGCCCAGACTTGATAGGCGGGTCATGCTGGGAGGTAGGGTGCATCAGCGCTCAGAGCGGTTTCCTGGCCTCAGCACCGCTGAGATTGGGGGCTGGATAACTCGATGCTGCAGGGAGCTGCCCTGCAGGATGTTTCGCAGCCTCCCAGACCTTTCCTCACTAGGTGCAGGCAGTAGCATTGGTCCCCTGCCCCCCACTGCGTCTCCAGCACCCCGAACAGAGCCAGGCTCGCAGCAGCGCACACGCGCTCTGGACTGAGGAACACAAAGTGCGAGTCTCGGCGGCAGGCGGGCCGGCCGCACCGTTCCAGACTAGATGCCGTGTGACCGGGGCGTCGGGAAGTCCCTCTCTGGCCTGAGGCTTTGCTCCTGTCCATTTTAACCCGCCACCTTCTGTGTCCAAAGCAGCCCTTCCTGACGGGTTCTCCCCTGGCAGGGTGGGGCCGGAGGGGCTGTGCCCTGGGGCTGGGCGTGAGCTCTGCCGCACGTGCCCACCTCTGGGAGGTCACCGCCTCCCGCTTCCCTCCGCGCGGGACTCAGGGACCGTGGGGACCCTGGCTGGAACAGGAGCCGCCCCGGGAGTCCCGGAGATCCTTAGCATCAGAACCCGTATGGCTGTGATCAACGATACAATTTCATTTCCTCTTGTATTTTTCCATCTCAGCTGTAGCTTCCCCTCGTCCCCCACTAGAAGATTTAAAGCCAATCCTTTCTAAATTCTAACCAGCCTGAGCTGAAATTACAAAGTCGAATTTTAAAGACTTTAGGGATGCTGTTCAATTCCCCGTTTACCACGTTGGGTGGTGACCTTTTACAAACAGTGCGTGGCTACACAGGACCCACAGGCGTGAAGTCCCTTTCTAGGAGCAGGTGACTTTTCCGTGGGCGGGGAGGGGAGTATGACAGCCCACCTGTCTCGTTAGAGCCCCATCCCTGGGGGAGGGGTTGGGGAGTGCTAATCCCATTTATCAGATGAGGAAACTGAGGCTCAGAGGGGTCCGATCACTCCCCCGAAAAGTTGGTACGGGGTGGGGGAAGAGCAGGAAGCAGTCAGCAGCTCAGGCTCCCAGCTGTGACAGGTAAAGGGAGGGAGGGGACGGCTTTGCAGTGCACGGAAAAATGGGGAAGACAGTCTTACTGCAGGAGGCTCAGCTGGGGGAGCCTCGGCAGGTGCCACAGCAGGGTTTCCAGGCTCTCGTCGCTCAGGGCCACGCCGGACAATCTGTGAAACACAACATCTGAGTCAGGTGCGGAAGCCCTGGGGACAGCTGGGAGCTTGGCCGTGCAGCCAGAGCCTTCCAGAAACGGACCCCACGCCAGGGTTGCGGCCTAAACATCCCCTCAGAACACCGGGAACTGGAGTCACCACGGAGGAGGCCGGAGGAGAAGGAAGGTCCTGTACGTGGGGGAAGTGCTGTGTTATGACCCATCAGTTTTCCCCGACTTCTGGGAAGAGGGCTTTTTAGCAGCACTAGCTGTAGCGCCAAACAAAACAAAACAAAACAAAACAAAACCAAAACCCCCAAAACCAAGAAACCAAACCAAAACAGAAACCAAAACCGAAAGTACGGGAAGCAGCCTGGATGTCTAGCCAGATTCTGGGGCTGATGTTGGGGGGCGGGGGAGGGGAGGTGCGGCTGAATGATTTGCGGCGCGTGTGCACCGTGGAGGGTTTGCATCAAAAAGTGAACATGGGGTAAGAAACACACAATCAGGCGCAATGAGACACCGACAGGGGACCTGATGGTTTGGGTTCGACATAACATGACGTGGCTGCTGCAGGGTCCTGATGACTTAGACTGAGTTGGGACTGAATCCCAGCTCGAGAAATGGCCTCTCCTTCGGCCTCTAAGAGCCCTAACCTTTTCCTTGGATAACCAGCAGCCCCTGAGGCGGCGGAAGACGGTGGCCGTGACCTGGGAAATAATCAGGCTAAAGAGATCATCTCCACTAAGTTACAGCTCAGCTCCTTGAACCCTAAGGTGGAGCAGGCAGACCCCCAGCTCCCCTCCCAGGAGATCGGACATGGGGGACACTGGAAAAGACCTCAAAGCTGTCCTCAGGACCCAAAGAAATGACTCACCACCTCCACTGACCAATCAGCTCCCAGCACAACCGCAAACCCCTCACCTTTTGTGTCTTATGGGTTGTCTCATAGACTCTGGAACCCACAGGCCACCGAAAGCCATTCTGCTCTTGAGCTCAGCGTCCCCTGCTCCCAGACGGCACCATGCATAACAAGGTAGCCCGTATTTCCCCCCGCAGTTCCCGGCGTCTAGAATGTGGCTCTGCGAGCACCGGCTGGATGAGCTCTCGCTGTTCTGCAATGATACTGGCTTTGTGGTGGGTTAAAAACCAGAGCGCTGGTCTTTTAGCTGGGCACACTGAATATCTACAGAGGAAATTATAAGGCGCCTTGGAATTGCTTCAAAATGACGTGTGCGGGTGCGTGCGTGTGCGAGCATGTGCACGGGCGTGTGCACGGGTGTGTGTTGGGGCCATGGAGAGAGAAGTTATTGAGGCAGGTCGGGGGGAAACCAAGTCTCCACAACGGCATTCTCCCTGATTTTATACATGCGTTTACTTGATAGTCTCCACAATGGAAGTATTTTTTAATGAAAAGGTAACTGTACAGAAATAAAATCTGACCATCAAGGTCAAGGTCCGCCGTGATAAGTCAAGTCCATAGCACACACCTTTGGGGGAGGGGAGGAGGGGGCACTTTGCCTCTGTGTGTTTCTGGCTCCAGACCCACAACCCCCAGTCAAAGCTCGGGGAGACATCAAACACGTTCTGAGGGACATTGAACGAAACACCCGACCAGGACTCCTCAAAACTGCCAGGGTCACAAATGACAAGGAAAGACTGAGAAACCGTCACAGGCCCCAGGAGGCAAAGAGCAGGCGACTGGACGTGAGTGGGACCCGGATGGGACTCGGGGTGAGAAACAGAGCCTTGGCGGGGACACTGGTGAAATCCGAAAGGAGCCCGGAGTGCAGTCAGCAGTCCCGCGCCAGGGCTGGGTTCCCAGCTGCGACCGACGGACCGTGTTAACGGGCAGTGTCAACACACAGGGACGACCGAGTGAGGGGGCTCTCAGGACCAGCTTTGCCACTTTTCTGTAAATCACGTCTGAAACTATTCTAACGGGAACGGTTTTGTGCAAGTCCAGAAGCCTGTTACAAGGCCCAGAGGGCATTTGAGGTCGGAGCTGGAAATCACGGGGTGAGGGGTGGGGGCAGGGGAGGGACTAGCAAAATGGAAAAACACATTTGGTGCGATGGGAAGTAAGTCGGTAGAAGTCGGCTGGTCCGTGAGCACCAAGGGGTGACAGCTGGGTGTGCGGACCGACCGGGAGCAGCAGGTCACGAGGACAATGGCGACGTTGATGAGTGGAAGGGGTTGTGTAGGTGAGGCAGGCTTGTCTTGTGTTTCTTTATCTTAAGGTAATTACGGGAATAAAACTACAATGATGACAGCAAAAGGAAAGGCTGACTGTCCCATTTACAGGGCCCAGCGAGGCCCAGTGAGTTCAAGTCCAAAGTTCCCTGTGTGAGGGCGACTCAGCCAGGACGCCTAGTTTTGAGTCCTGGCTTTGGTCACAGCCCCAGAGGTTCTGGGTGGGGGTGCCGGTCACCCAAAGGGGGATGCCCCAAGGTGGGGCCTTCAGAAGTGATAGGCCCAGGTGGGTGCCAGACAGGGTGGGGCCCCAGGCATGGAGGGGCCGATGGAGCCCCCGGGTGCCCTGAGTTGAGCAAGTGGGGGAGGTGTAGCCCCAGGCCCGGCACAGCCTCTCTGAGCAGGAGCAGCAAGGAGCTGGGCTACCAAGATCAGCGAGGCTTCTATTGATGGGCAGGGAGCTCCCGTGGGGCGGGGCTATGGGTCTGGTGGGACAGAAAGGACTCACCTGGGTTCTAATGGAAACACTGCCCTCCCGGGCCCCGCACTCCCCAGGTCACTGCGCAGATGCCTGCGCTGTGCCCTCTGGGGCTGCGCCCTCCTTACTTACTTGACTTCCAGGGGTCCTGGGCACTCCTCCAGAGTCTGACAGAGCCTGGTGAGGCTCGGGGGTTCCAGCTGACACTCTCTGAGGCTGCGAAGAGTCAGGCGGGCAGAGCAGGGGCTCAGAGAGGGCTCTCCCCTCCTCCCAAGAACGCTGCTCCCCAGGCTGCAGGCTGCTCCCCAACCGGCCACACTCTCCACCCCCAAGTCCCCCAGAGCCCCCGCTCCCCGAAGTCTGAACCTCTGAGTGTCCAGCTACCCTCCTCCTCCCCTAAGGGCTCCCCACCGAGTCCTGCCCTCGGAGTCCGGGCCACTGCGGCACCTCCCCTGGCCACATCAGCACCCTCTGGCTTTCCCTACTTGTCTCCCCGCCATCCCTCTCCGCCCTGCCTGGGTCTCCTCTTTCAACAGTGCAAACCCGGCCGGGCCTCTCTGGGGCCAAAAGCCCTCAGTGCCTCCCACTCTCTGAGGCCAACAGTGGAACCCCTTTTCCACGGCCTCACGCGCCCCCACGCTCCCTGAATAGGCTCCGGCCCCAACAGTCAAGTTTTCACTCCTCTGGGCCCCTGTGAGATCTGGCCAACCTGCCCGGACACCCATGCCCCCTGGGGACAACCCCAGCTTGGGGAGGAAATCGAGGCCAGGAGAGGGGAGGCGCCCAGCCAGGGTTGCACAGCCCCTCATGGCAAAGCCAGGGGTCTTCGGGGAGATCGGAACGCCGACAGCCAGCTCCGGGTGTCTGGCGCCGTGGTGCTCACACTCAGTCCCTTCCTTTCCCCTTCTTTCAGCTTTTCTTCCCGCTCTCTCCCGGTCCCCAGTCTACCCCTCCCCCAGGCTCTCCTCACTCCCTGAGCCCCCACCCCATGGTGGTCACCCCAAAACAGGAAGTGAGTAAGACGGTACCAGAAGCTCCTGGGGGTGCAGGGCCGACCGAACCCCGAGGGCTGGGCTCTGGCTGGGAACACTAGCGAAAGCCCACTAGCCGACAGGTCCCTTGGAGTGCGGGGAAACCTTTTGAGAAGGAAGTTCAAATCATCCATATTGGAAGACGAGACTCAGCAGTCAGGGCTGGAAGGAACCCTCATGACAATCAAACCCCTCACTGTACAGATGGGGAAACTGAGGCCGAGGGCAGGGAAGCCACAGCGAGAAAAACAGCAGCTTACACCTGTCCAGGGAGGAGGCGCCTGGCCAGGTTAGGGGGAGCCAGGACAGAGCCCCTCCTGGATCTGATCACCGATGTGGCCTTTCCATGACTTTTATCTCCCTGAACCTCCAATCTTTTGGCCCCCAAAACCCAGAGGGTCCCCTGAAATAGAGACCCTAGACCAGGAAGTAAGGTCACCCCAGCCCTGGGCCCTCCCTGGTTCCAGCCAGCCACCGGGCACGGCGATGCCGTCTGTCCCCTGTCACGTCAGCCCAGCCAGCCCCACCTTAGGGGGCTCCTACGTCTGCCAACCTCGCACAGGAAACTGGGGTGCCCCACTAGGGGGCAGCCGGGGACATCTGCGGAAAACTAACTATTGTTCGTTGTTTACAACAGCGATATGGAAACTTCTGCAGAGCATCAACGGTTTTTGCAACACGAGCCTCAGAGCGGGAAAGGTCAGCGAGTCACATGAAGCCCGAGGTCTGCAAAAGTCCCCGAGGGGCAGGACCCAGTGTTCCTTCTTCCTGTTCACAGAGCCGCCCCCTGTGAGCACCTGCTCTGCTGTGGCATCGAGCACCCACCCCTCCCCCCCCCCCCGTCTGCACTGGCTTCTTCCAAGAGAGATTTAAGGCAGCTGATCACTGCACATTCATATGAGGGGGTGCAGCTTACTCGAGAGCTGGCAGTGGGCCTGGGGTGGGGGGCTCTTGCAGGAAATGGGGACCACAGGGAGAGGGGAGCCCACCTCCCCCTCGGAGCTCTCCGTCCTCACCTGGTTCTTCCGTCACCTCTCAAGATGACCTGTTGGCTGTCGAAGCTGCAGGCAGAGAGGAGGCAGCCATTAGAGAGGAGGCGAGGAGCCCGCTTCCCAGGAAGGGGCAAGAGAGCAGACTGGCCAGGGCCAGGGGGCCTGGGGGAGGACCGTGTTCCCAGCACATGCCACTAGAACTCTACTGACAACCACCACGTGTCCTATGGCATGTGCAGCGCATGCCAGCGACATGACCTCCTTTGCCTCTCACGCTACCACTGTGAGAGAAAGAAGTATCCTTATCCCCATTTCACAGATGAGGAAACTGAGGTGGGAGAGGCTCAGCGAGCAACTCAAAGCCACACTGCAGGGCAGGGCTGAGCCCGGGCTTGAACCCGTGTCTACCATCACACCTCCCACTCTTGGGAGGGGAGGGCGAGGAATGGCTTCCTGTGAAAGTGTGGACGATCCGCACCAGGTGTCCCGGAGCTGTGGGGCTGGGGGCCTTTTCCCTTCTGCAGTCTTGTCAGCTCCAGGGACCCCACAATGAAAGCAGGTCCCTGAGCATTCAGTGGGCACAAGGGAGCTCCCAGCTTTCTTCAAAGTGGCCCAGAACAATCCAGACAGTGAGTAAGAGGGTCAATGGGTTGTGTCTCATGGAGGAATCTGAGTGTCTCTGGGGCTCCACCCATCCATCCATCCATTCATCCGTTCATTCAGCAGACACCCATCACACGTGCACCGACTGGGCATCCCGCAGGCCGTGAGGATGCTCCACCGTGAATGCAGCAGATGGGGCGGGGTGGGGGGTGTGGCGGGAACTGAGGGGGGCCCAGAGGCGCACTCACCTGATGTCCAGGTGGTGCACCCACTGCACAGAAGAGAAGCACCAGGCCAAGCTGAACACGGTGTCCAGAGACAAGCCGTTCTCGCTGAGACTGCAGAATCGCAGGGGTGGTGTTACAGGGCCGCCCAGGACTTTCAGAAACCCCCTGTCTGTGGTCAGAGCACCGGGGTTGGGGGGAGGGCTGCCCCTGACTCCAGACGATGGAACTCACTGAATTCTGGATGGTCAGAGGGCCTCTTCCAACTCTACCGACAGGGAAACTGAGGCCCATATGGCAGCCAGGTGGTGCCCTCAGTTACAAGACATACTGGTGACAGAGCTGAGATTAGAACCCAGCGGTTCCCTCTGTCGGTGATGAATGTGGGGAACACTTTTAGGAGGGGTGGTGCCCAGGGACAAAAGAAAATGGAGGGGCCTCTTGCTCAAAAAGCAGGAACAAAGGAGTTCCTTTCCTTCCTAATCTGTCAGTCTGTCATGATGGTTTTGATTCGCCAATGACACAGTCTTCAGGACGGGGGTCCTGGTCCGTGACTGCAGAGGCTCACAGGCCCTGAGTCAAACCAGGAGTTCACAATACCGAGAAGATCACGTGGGGGTTTGCTGCAATCAGCATGTAATTTGCCTGCAGGGGTGAGGCCCTCCCCGCCACCCAGGTCCAGGTCCCCTGCACTGAGGCAACCTCCCTTCCTTCCCAGGATCCCAGTGAGACTGTTCAGCAGGAAGGGCCCTCGGGCCACAGCCCTCATCCTAAGGCTGCAGACGAAATCCACCCCCTGCACAGGTCACGGGTTAACTGGCTGGCAGGGGCTCGGAGAGCTGCTGGAACCTGCCTGAGGCCACACAGGAAACCCAGGGCCTGTGGCCTCTCCCCGCAGCTCCTCTCACTCTGTCCCAGAAGGGGGGTGGGGAAGGGATGTGGGGACCAAAGCCACAGGGCCCAGGAACTCCGGTCTGCCTGCTCAGGCAGAGTCTGGGGGCTCCTACCAGAGTCCCCCTCCCACGCTGAAGATCTCCCCTGTCTCTGCCAGGTGCTCAGCGCCCTCCAGACGCCCTGGGCGCCCTGCCTGCATGTCCTGTGCGGTCTGAACCCGCCCTGCCTGCCTGTCAGCCAGCTCACTCCTTATCAAACAGCCCCGCCCTGCACCCGAGGGCTAGGATGGCTGCCAGCCTTTCCACTCATCAGCTCCTGCTCCCCACCACGCCCGCCTTGCCCCAGGCAACCGGGGCCTCCTAGAGGCAGGTTCCAGAAGGGAGACCTTACATCAGAAGCTGGATCTTTGAGTCTCTATTTTAATGAGAATCACACCCCTTACTGAGCACCGAGCAAGAGTCAGGGAGTAGGCCAGTTTTCTTGTTTAATCTTGGGCACAACCTCAGGACAGAGTGAGATGGGAAGACACAGGAGGAATGCCCCCCCCACCCCGCCCCCCGGAAACATCCCCTCCTTCTGAGGAGGACGAGCCTCAGAGGCGTTGCCCAGGCCTTACTCACTTCAAGGACTGCAGCGAGCCCAGTGTTGGGAGACACCACAACAGCTGGTCCACACCTTGGTCCCCCAGAGCATTACCTGATAAGCTGGGAGGGGGGCAGAGGGAGAACAGGTTAGTGGAGGGAGGGGTGGGGACGGGCAGGAGCTCTGTCTCTCCACCCTACACCATCTCTCCTCTCCTCCTGAAACTGGGCTGCCAGGCCAGATCTTAGCAGGTCGCTCTGGGTCCGCTGGGGTCTCCCCCAGGGTCTTTATCCCAAAGTGTGTGACCCCGAGGGGGTCAGGGAGGGGCTTCAGAGGGAGTCAAACGAGAAGGACCTTCATCTAGTGGGGAGAGGCAGGACTTTCACCATACTCTTTAGGGGGTTCCGGACTGCAGCAGGAAAAGAACCGCTGATCTAAATCTTCAAAACCAAACCCGACGACACCCACAAGCTGATTAGCCCAGGAGCAGCCACTCACTCGAGGTGGCCCCAGCAGCAGCTTTCTTTCAGCTCGGCGAGGAGCTGCTCTAGGTGCTCAGCTTGCAAACCGCAGTGCACCAGCCTGCAGAGGACAGAACCACAGCCCTGCAGCCACGCCCTGCCCGGCGGAGGCCACAGCCGCCGCCCCAGACACACAGGCAGAGGGCAAGGCTTGCAGGAGAGGGCTGGGACGCATCTGGCACTCAGACAGACAAAGAGAGTCCAACACACAACACACTGATGGTCACAACCCACAGGCAGAGAAGAACCAGAGAGTCAGAGACACAGACAGAGAGACCAGGATGGACAGACCCAAGGTGTCGGGGGTGGGGGGGGGGGACAGGGAGAAGAGAGCAGACAGATGCACATTCAAATGCACACACACATGGTGCCAGAGGAAGGCAGACAGACAATGAGACAAGGGCCACGGAAAATGAGACGGATGAGGACTGAGAGAGATAGTCAGACTGGGAGGGAGCCACAGAGGGACAGAGAGTAAGAGAGAGGGCCAGTACCGATGAGTGCCCTGGGGGGCCGAGCTGAACCTCCAAGCCCAGGACCCAGGATCTGAAAAGAAGGGGCTGCAAGCTCCCCATCCTCTCCATCCAGAGTTCCCACAACCCCTCAGCGACCGGAGGTTGGGGGCACTAAGGGGACGGGGTCACCGGGTAAGGAAGGTGAGTGCGGGGGCTGCCTTGTGAGCCCCACCTGTGGTGGGCTGGGCAGGAGAGGTGAGAGGCCGGGAAGCCAGGCCCCGGCTGCTGGGCACAGCAGGTCGGGTCCTCCAGGGAACACCTCCTGGCTGGGGGCTGGGGACAGGCTTTGTGCAGAGGAAGGGAGGAGGCTGGACCCACACCCGAGCCCTGCAGGTCATCACTGTACCTGACCCTTGGGGAGCACGGGGTCAGCTCAGAGGGCATCGGGAACGTGAGGGTGTCAGGAAACATGGCAGGGAGACACCTGGGGAGACACACAGCAAGGCCAGGCTGGCTGAGCAAACGCCTCGCCCGCTGTCTCCAAAGTGCATCCTCAGCCTCGCTCCCCACCATCCAATCTGTACACGGGCCTGGAGAGAGCCAGACCTTGGCTCCAAGCGGGCTTCTCTGCTTGCTGGCTGCGTAACTGGGGCAAATCGCTTAGGCGCTTACTGGGAGCGTGTATGCGAATGCTCTCAGTCTGGTGCTTGGTGCTCAGTTAGTACGCACTCAGTTCACCTTGGCTGTTAGCATCATTAACCCCATCCTCCTCCTCCTCCTCCTCAGTGCCTTCAGAGACGTCAGCTTCAGCTTCAAGCAAGTCTCCGAAAGCTCAGACGCTACAGAAGACCTTGCAGGTGGACACTGAGGAGCAAAGGGCTGAGTCTCTACCTGTGTGCTGGGCTGGGGCAATCCAGGAAGGCACCTTGGAGGAGGCCAACACTCTCTAAAGGGTCCTTGTGACTAAGGCAGCCAGAAGTTCTGACCAAAATCAGTGCATAGGCCAGGCGGCCCTGTGGGTTCAGGCCAAAGGGCCTTGTCCTCTCTGGCCGCTCCACCCCTGCCCCAGAGTGCCCCCCACCCTGAATCACAGGGCTCACTCAGGCTCCACCAGGGAAATGGGGCAGCGGTTTGCCCTTTGACCCTCCCCATAGGGCTGCACCCCCCTCTAAGCCTGCTGGCTGGCAGAGCCTCTGTGACTTTGCCAAGGTCCCCTGGCAGTTGAGTGGCACTGCGCAGCTTGGGGGGCCAGGGAGAGGGTGGCACTGGGCCAGGGTGGGGCGGGACAGCACTGAGGCCCTACCTCTTCTGGGTCACCTTCTGCTGCTCCAGCGCTGGGGCAAACGTGAGGACCACGGTTTTGTGCTTGAGGCTGCAGAGAGAAAAGAGGGAGGAAGCAAGAGGCTTATGGGGTCCCTGCTGCTCCGTGTCATGTTTCAGCTCAGCCTGGAGGGACCTCCAAGGTGCCGTCCCCAAGCCTTGAGCTGCGGTCCTTCCCCCAGACCCTCCCCCGACTTCCTCGGAGCTTCCGGGAGCCCGAAGTCTTTCCTCCACAGAGATTTCACAGACTCATCAGCCCTCGTTTCCTGACAAGTCCTTGAAAGAAGACTTTAGTCTGTAGTCTCTCTGGTTTGGGCCTCAAACGGAATCTCTGCCTGTGCCCACTGGTGGCACCCATGGGTGGCACCCTCGGTGGAAGGTGCTCACCCAGCAGGGCGAGGTCACTGCCAGGTCAGGGGAATCCACACGAGGCTGCAGCTCACAGCCGCGCATCCCTAACCTCGCCTTGCAAACCAAACGTTACGTATATACTTTTCTCATGACAAAAGTCATCCTTCGCCCTGGCTGGCGTAGCTCAGTGGATTGAGCTCGGGCTGCGAACCAAAGCATTGCAGGTTCAATTCCCAGTCAGGGTACATGCCTGGGTTGCAGGCCACGGCCCCCAGCAACTGCACATTGATGTTTCTCTCTCTCTTTCTCCCTCCCTTCCCTCTCTAAAAATAAATAAATAAATTAATTAATTAATTAAAAAAGTCATACTTCATGGCCACGGAGAACTTAGAAAATACAGAAAAGTAAAAGGAACACGAAGGAAAATCACCCACGATCTCTCCCACATTCAACGACCACTGACGACATTTGGGAGTGGGTCCTTCACATCTTTGTTTTTTAATGCAGTGAATGTTCTTTCTTTCTTTTTTTTTTCTTAAAAACTGGGGTTAAAATGGCAAACTCTCTCCTAAAAGTTAGGTTTCCGAGGGGTAGACGCAGCAAGAGCAACGAAATGTTGATAGTTATTGGTGGGAACAGGATGTTCTGTTAGACTGTTCTTCCCCAGCTCTGAGTGTGTTTGAGAAGCTTTATTATAAACGTGACGAGTTCCAGCATTTACGTGCCCTTTAAATACCATTCCACGCTAACGCTGCAGCTGCACCGTGGCCTCAGCCCGTTCTGCCCTCTGGGGGCAGCCAGGACTGAGGCGGGTGGGGGAGCCGGGCGCCCCGGGCTGGAGGTGGGGCTGGGTGACGGGTGCCCGCTGCGTGCTCACCTGATGTGCAGGTCTGCCAGGGTCCGGCACGTGCTCAGGGCACTCAGCACGCCGTGTATCCCATCCACCGAGAGCCCGTTGTTGCTGAGGCTGTGGGGAGGTGGGGAGGGGGCAGCCATCAGCAGGCGGCTGAAGTCTCCAGCCCCGGGCAGCTCCAGCCCCCTCCTCCTGGCTCAGCAGCTGGATGGCTTCATTCCTGACATGTCCTGGGTGCTCAACCGGGGGTGGGGGGGTCTCAAAGGATTCTGGCCCACGCGGGTGAGCCAAGAGATGCCTGGCTCCCTTGCCCCGCTCAGAGGATAAGGTTCTCCAGCTGGAGCGACAAGAACCTACTCACTGGTTTCGCCTCTCTGAGCCTCGGTTTCCTGGCGTGTAAGAGAACCACCATTCAAAGCGCAATTAACACAAGGGGAGACCGAGGCTCAGAGACGTCACGTTCCTCTCCCCGGGGCACAAAGCTCCTCAGTGACAGGGCCGGGATTTCAGCACAGAGCCAAGCCCACAAACCAGCGACCCCACCTCAACACGCCCCCACCCCAGCCCCCACTTGGGGCTGAGACCCCCACGCATCCACCCAAGCAGCACCCCACTGCACCCCACGCAACCCCACCGCACATCCAACAGCTCACCCCCACCACCCACCCTTTCACCCCAACTCTGCGCCCCCACCCTACCACACCGCTCCCCACCCCAACATCCCAATCCAACACCCCACTGTTGCCTCGATGCAACACACCCCCACCCTGCATCCCATGCGCCACCCCCCCACCCCAGGCAGTTGTAAAAACCAGCTGGAACACAGGCCATGGGGTTTTAATAATGGGGACTAAGTGGCTCATGCCAGAGGCAAAAGCGATGCGTGGTGAGTCACCCCCAGGTCGCTGGAGTTGGGGGTAAGGAGGGGTGGTGGGGGCAGCTCCCTGGGTGACGGTGGGCACGGGGCTCAGAGGAGGCAGGGGCCGGCGGGGACTCTCCAGGGCCCTCCTGTGACCCAACAGAGGGCGGGCGGCACTCACTCCAGCCTCCGGGCGACGCGCCGCTGGGAGGCGGCCTGCACCACGAGTTGACAGCCTTTGTTCCCCAGCTGGTTCCCTGAGAGGCTGAGACAGAGGAGACCGCTTTCCTGGGCTGCTGGGGTGGGTCCCCCCTCAACCCTGGGCGCACAGGCGGCCCCTCACTGACTTAGCAAAGCATCCTTCCGGTTAGTGAACCTCCCTAACAACGAACATTGAAAGACAGCCTAAGGCCTGCTGGATGCTGTCCCAGGTGCTTCTGCAACGATTAGATTTTCAATCCTGGCAACCACCCCGTGAGGTAGGCACCAGCATTCTCCTCATCTCACGGAGTAAACTGAAGCACAGACTGGTGAGGGCACTTGCTCAAAGGTGGACCTGGGATTCGAACCCAGGCAGCCTGACGTCAAGGCCCCACCCACAACCATTTCCTTCCGCTGCAGCCTACATAATCACTGCCTGTGGTAAACTCCATGGTGAGAGGGGCCTGTGACTAGGGTCTGGGATCAGGGAAGGCTCCCCTGATGTCTGAGCTGCTTGCTAGAAAAACTAGGAGCTCAGCAGGCAAGGGGTGGGAGGGGTGGGTCACAGGAACAGGGTGAAGGCATGGTGAGGACCTGTGAGGGAGCCGGGACATCTGGGTGGAGGACTGAGGGGGGGGCGGGGCCAGGTGGGGTTTGGGGGGTTGGGAGCAGGTTCTGGGTCCCATGAGATTTTAGGATCGGGCCTTTGCCTGGAGCAGCGGGAGGGAGGGAAGGGGACAGGGAGCAGTGAAACGCAGTTGACACCGTACCGGGTAGAGGTGGCCAGGGAGTCAGCAGGGAGCCCAGGGAGGGGGCTGGTGGGTCATCCAGGTGACGGAGGAGGGCGGTGTGGGCTGGGGGTGTGGACGGGAAGAGGTCGGTTTGGAGAGCTGTGGAGGGCGCAGGTCGGCTGAGGATGATGGACTGGGTGTGGGGTGGGTGGAGCCGAGAGGGGGCTGGCCCACATACCCAGGTGGGTGATGGGGCCCTGGCTGTGGGTGACAGCACGGGGGGGGGGGGGGGGGGGCGGCAGGGGCTGGCTGGCGGCGGCCATGAGGGTGGAAGCATGTGAGCTGGGTAAACCCACCTTTTCTAATCTTGTCTTGGTTCTCCCGGTGGGCCGGGCCGGGGTATATAACTAGGCTTTAGTCGGCGAAGCCGCTTGCACCCACCCATGGTAACTTGGGGTGGGGCCCCTCCCCTCCAAACACACGCTGGCATTCCATCACCCCACCCTCACAGCCGTTTGACTCCTGGGTGGTCCTGGCAGGGGTCCCTCCCGGTGACATCACAGGACCTCCACCCACCTCCAAGCCCTTCTCTCAAAGGCTCCGCCCGGGAGCGGGGCATCATGGGAATTTCTCCAGCCAGAAAAGAGGCCGTCTCACTGCAGTCTGGGAGGAGCACAGGGTGAGGGGACCCCAGGGGCTATGGTTGGGAAGACAGATGTAGGTGTGGTGAGGTTTCTGCTTTGCCAGTCTCAGTGACAGTGGTCATGAGGATGAGGCCTGGAGTGAGACTGTTTGAACTTGAACCCGGGCCTGCACTCGCCCTAGCTGTGTGACTTTGAGTAAACGTCCCTGTCTGTGGCTCAACTTCCTCCTCTATAAAATGTGCACAATCGTGGCACTTAAGCCCTAGAGGTGGGAGGATTGCAGGAGAGGGTGCATGTAAATGCGCTTGGCACAGGGCAGGCGCTAAAATGCAGTAGCTCTTGTGATGGTCTGATTCCCTCCGGTTCTTGGTGAGGCGCCGTCCCCACACCATCCACCCCAAGCCGAGGCCTTTCCTGTACCCCACCCCGCCGCCTTCTCCTCCCATCTCCTGCCCCAGAGCCTCCCAAGATACTCACTCTACTTCGTCCAGGCGGGGGCCTTCCTGGAGCTGGGCTATGAGCATCTCCACATCAAAAACGGTCAGCTGACACTCCTGCAGCCTGGGGCGGGCGGGGCCGGAGGGGTTCAGGGCAAGAACTACAGGGCGCCTCCTCTGTCTCCTAGCCCCGCTGCTAGGCACGGGAGCCGGGGGAGCCAGGAGGCTGCCAGACCGGCTGGCTAATGCCGGCCCTGCTTCTCGGTAACTGGGGGACCTTGGATGGGGCGCTTCACCTGAGACTCAGTCTCCTCCTCTGTCAAGTGGGAATAACATGCATACTTTGCGGAATTTTCAGGAGTAACCAGGAGGTAATGGGTGTAAAATACCACAGTGCCCAGCACAAAGCAGGGGCCCATTAAATTATGGTTAATTATGTTCTTGTTATGCCAGATGCTCCCTGTTCAGGCCAGGGCGGGCAATTTGTGTCCTTTCCCTGCCCCTCACCTGCTTTTCCCTTTGTCCTCCCTGCTCCTGCTGTGCGTCCCCTGGGAAGGGACCCTCCACCCGGTCACATCCCTCCCCTTAAGGCAATAGATCCCGCTGCGGTACCTGAGGGTCAGGCTTCTCCTCTGAGCCTCTCTGCTCTGGCTGGCATTTCCCTGCAGCTCTGGGGATCTGGCAAAAACAAACCCAGCACTGGCCCGGGCTCAGGAGTCCAAGCTCTGCCGTTGGCCTCTAGGGGCTGAAGACTCCTTAGCACGACCCACCAAGAATGAGTAACAAAGACGGTTGCTTGAAGGTGCTGAAGGCATCATTCAGCAAAGCAGCAGGAGCCAAAGGTTTGAAGTCAAATGAAACCTTTATTCAAATTCTGGCTTGGCCATCTGTAGCTGTGTGGCCTCGGGCAAGTCACGCCACCCCTCTGAGCCTCCGTTTCCTCTGCTCTAGAATGAGTGGCAGTATCTGATGCATGGAGTGATGGAGGACTGAATGGGGTGACATGTGATCGAGTGTCCACCACAGGCACAGTGCTGTTGGGGAAGGGGCGATGGTCTCTGTAGACGCACCGTCTGGGGTTCAGAAGGTCAGGAGCAGGGACTGTACGTGGGTCAGGCTGTGAAAAGCCACCGCAACGCCAGGCTCTCTTCCATGGGGCCAGGGGCGGGCTGGGGGCTGTAGAGAGGCTGGGACACTGTGACCCAGGTTTTCACAGACCTGGAGATTAGTGCCATCCCACAGAACTTCCAGCGACGGTGGAGGTTTCTATATACTGAGCTACAAGTTATATAAGTTATATGTTTCTACAACTGTGCCACCCATTACCACAGCCATTAGCCGCCTCTGGCCACGGAGCATGTGAAATGTGGCTAATGTGACTGATGGGCTGCAATGTCCATTGTACTTAATGTTAAGTGATATCAACTTAAACAGCCACGTGTAGCTAGGGGCTACTGGGTGGGTATCACCTCACTAGACAGTCAGTGGTCCTACTGACTCATCGTATGGGTGGGGAAACCGAGGCTCAGAGTAGGGAGAGGACGTGCTCCAGGACACACAACGTCACCTGCCTCCGAGTCTGAGCTGGGCGTGGGGTGGGCAGGCACGGGTGGAACGGTCTTTCACGGAAAGCCAGCCTCCCTTTCTTTGCCCATCCAGGACTGGCCGAGCTGGGGTCCACGCACTGCCGGACTAGCCCGCACCTGAGTGCCAGCTGGGTGCCATGAGTGCTCTAAGAACTTTACATGTATTATGTCACTTAATTCTCAGAACAGCTCCAAGATGTAAGTATCATAATTGCCTCCCCCCCTTTTCTTCAGGTGGAAGACTCTCCCGCACATAGTAATACCACTGTAACTGTATCTTCATGCCTCCCTCTGCCCCCAGTCCAAGGGTCTGTGAGACTTCTGGGGGTGCTCCCTCGCACAGGGGCCCGATGTGGCCCAGAGATGCTGCAGGAAGCTCACGTCCTTCGCCAGCTCTGAGAAGTCACTCGCTTCTCGGGGCCGCAGCAGTGAGGAGAACCCCCACGCTGCAGCTCTCCCGAGCTCCCCCGGCCACCCTTCCCCACGACCTCCTGAAGCAAGATCACATCTCAGGACGAGTCCAGACCCGCCCCTCCCTCCCTTCTTACCCACGTGGCTCTGCAGCCGCCTCTGCTGGTGGGGACAGAAGGATGATGAGCTCCGTCTTCCTGCAGGGCCAAACACTGAGCCGTGAAACCCGTGGGCTGGAAACCAGCGTGGCACCCCCAGCCCACGCACCCCTTGCTGCCCCCAACGACCAGAGAAGGCTGATTTTGTGATTGACAGCAGAACAGAACTGGAAAAAGTGTTCCAGATCAGACACATAAAATAGTGACTGTGTCCTTGCGTGATGAATCCCGAGTGCCTCAAAAAGCCAGGAAAACAACTTTTACAAGATAATAACAATGAGCAACTGGGAGAGATTTTTAGGAGTGGCTGTGTTTTAGGACTGGGAGGCACAGCACGTAACCCCAGGACCCAAAACAGTTCAGCACCATGGAGAGCAATACGCAGCCGCATTCCTCGGGCCACGCCCATGCTTCCTAGATTTGTGGAGTCATTCCTTCCTCGTCTGTCAGCCTGTCCTTCTGTCTATTCATTCACTGCTTATTGAGCACCAGGTGCCAGGCCTGAGTGAGGCTCTGGACACACTGAAGTGAGTGAAACAGACTCACGCAGGTCCGTCTTGCAGACTAGGGGGCTCCTCTTTCTCCTCCCCCCTCTTCTGAAGGCCCTGAGCGTCAGGCGCCCAATCCTTCTGCTCACCTGACGTGCAGCGTCCTGATAGTCCGGCACGTGACCGCCGCTTTGGTCAAGCACAGTAGGGTCTCTACGGAGATGTTGTTCTGGCTCAGGCTGAATGATTGCGGCAAAGGCATCAGAAGTGAATCCCCTATCCCATGGGGCCCAGAGCTTTGCTCTCTCTCTCCCAGGTTGGAGGGTGACTCAGGCAGGGGCTCGGGTGGAAGGGCCGCTTACTCGAGCTTCTGGAGCCGTGGCAGGGCAGGGAGGACCTCCACGATTTGCAGCACCTCCTGGTCCTTGAGCTGGTTGTCCTGAAAGCTGCAGGGAGGCCAAGTCCCTCAGTCCTGGGGGAGGGGCACTTAGAAGCTCCAGTCGGTGGGTGACAGGCATGGCCACCCTCATGGGGCGGGGGGGACAGAAGGTGGGGCCCAGCATGAGCTGGTGACCGGTTCCACGGTATCCAACACGTCCAACTAGAAGGAGAGGCCCTCTGCTGGCCTCATGTCTGTTCTTGTCCAGTCCCTACGGGGGGTTCCTGTCTGGTGGCTCAAGGGATCCAGATGTGGGGCTGAAGGCTCATGAGGTGGGACGAGGAGACCCAGCAGACCTTGCTCTTGGGGACACAACTGGGATGCGCCTGAGGCCCAAGTTCATCGGCAGGGCTTTTTGGCTCCCAGGTGGTGAGCAGTCTAGACTGGAGTTCGGCAGAGGCCACTTTCAGCCTCAGCTCTGGCCCGGACTCCCCAGAGCCCCGGGCCAAAGGCATTCCTTCCTGACCTCACGTTCCTCACCAGCCAGATGGGGTCCACAGCCCAGCCCCGCCTGGGTTCCTAAGCTGGAGGGACAGAAGAACTGAGGAGCTCAAGGGCACCTTGTATGTGATCACTCTGGTCAGAAAAAGTGTTTGGAAAAACGGAACTTGTTGACCTTCACTTTTCTAATTATTGGGCACAACCTTAATCTTCTCTTCCACCACGCAGAGTAATCACACACGAAGACTCTCAGCAGAGGGGGCAGAGGGGACCGGGGCCCAGCTGATGCCCCGCTAAGCAAGAGGTGCACCCCAGTGCAGGGCTGCACCTGCTGGGATGAAGGGGTGCCTTTTCTAAATCTCACAAAGGTGCCAGCTTGCGTGGTTCTGCCAGGGAGCTGCTGGGGAGGTGCCCTGGCCCCACCCTCCTTGGGCCACTCATCACAGACACGGGGCAGGAGTATGTTTGGGCCTATGCACTTAGATGTGCACGTGGATCTAAGTGTGCGTGCACACGTGTGTGCCGCACATATGCACAGCTAAGATGTGCATGCACGTGGGGCAGGCATACACTTGTGAGCAGACAAGCGCATGCCCAGACACGTATGTGATGCATGCAGAAGTATGCATACATCTCACGCATGTGTGTGTCCCACAGTGCCAACACCTGCCTGCACACTGCCATCCCTCCTCCCGGGGTCACAGGCAGGGGAGAGGGGGCCTCACAACTCAAGTTCCTTCAAAATGGCCCCAAATATTGGATGACACAGGTACTTCTTTGGGGTCTTTAGGGTCCAGCCCCAGCTTGTTCTTGGGCTGATGCCTCCCCTCTTTCTGAGCTGCACTGAAGACCTACTGTCCAGACCCCACAGGACATGCAAGACCTGAGCAGTGACCTCTTCCCGCAGCCAGTGAGCCCTGCTGGACACCACTCACCTGACCTCTTCCAGGTACGGACAGAGGGGCAAAGCCTGAACCAGGTGCTGGATGCCTCGGGCAGTGATCTTACTTCCTGCTAACCTGCAGGGCAAGCAAAGATGGAGGGGGGAAATGGGGATGGGAAGTGGGGGTAGGCCCCAAATCCGCCCTGTGTGGGGTTGAGGGAAGGAAAGAGGGTCCCGGCACCCCCGGCTGAGGCTCCCTCTCGGTTCCAAGTCCTGGCTCACCCCAGCTTCTTCAGGCTCCTCATTGTTGGCAAGCTCCTGGAGAGGGCTTCGGCGAAGGCATCCCCACACCTCCTGCTCTTAAAGCTGCCACAGGAAGAGGCAAGGCGGCAAGTGATCAGTGCTGGGCAGGGCTGGAGGTCATGACCCACCTATCTCCGACAGAAGGAACTGAACCCAGTCACGTTAATAGTAGTAGTTGTTGTTGCTGTTGTTGAAATGGATGCAGTCGTAACGAATACATGTCATGGCAGAGACTGCTAACTGTCCACCAATACCCATCCTCCATACACGGAGCTACAACTGGGAACGCGGTTTCCCAGCAAGGGACGGCATTTCCCAGCCATCGTTTGTGGCTCAGTGTGGCCAAATGACCACGTTCTCACCACTGGAATGCGAGCGGACAGATGCACCCTATTTCTGGGACTGGGCTTGTCTAATGCATGCTTTCTCTTTTCCTACCCCCCCCTGCCCCGCCCAGGCCAGAGCACAGATGTGCCCATGAGTCAGCTCTGACCATGCACACCAATGCACCCAAGAAGATGACGGAGCAATGAGGGAAGGAGCCAGGTCCTTGCGTGACCGCTTGGAGCTGAGCCATCCCCTCTGGCCTGGACTCTGAGTCTCCCGTGAGAGTGAAAGGAAACGCTCCCTTATTTAATCCACTGCGTTTCGGGAGGGGGGTGGGAGGTTCTCTGTTCCTGCAGCTTAGCCTCTTCTCCAGCCAGTACACATACTGAGCCTTTGCTGTGTGCCAGGGGTGTGCTAAAAAGAGTTTTTCGTGCCTCATTTCACAGCAGCCCTAGGAAGTAGGCATTATGACTGACTCATTTTCAGGAGGAAGAAACTCAGACTGAGAGGTGGAATCATCTGCCCGGAGTCACCCAGCCCCCGGCAGCACAGCCTGAACCACAGGCCCCAGCCCATGACGGAGAGAGGAGCACTGGTGGTCCAGACGCCGTGACAGGAGGAGAGCCAGCTTGGACCTCAGGGGTCCTGGCGAGGCACGGCGCTCCCTCGCTGCGTCCCGGGCTAAGGGAGGGATGGAAGGGCCTGTCTACTCTGATACTCAAGATTCTTATTCAGCCTCCAAGCAGGGGGCTGCCAGACTGGCTGGCCCCACATGCCCACGAGTCCAGTTCCCTCCCCGGTCCTGCCCTGCCCTTCCTCTCACCTGAGATTCTCCACCTGCCCACAGCCTGCCAGGGCCTCAGGGCAGCAGGGCTCCAGGGGACAGCCCTCAAAGGCCAGGTGGATGGGGGCATCCCTGTGCTCCAGGATGTTGGTCAGGGCAGCCAAGTCGGTGTAGGTCAGCAGGAAGTTGTGGAAGGGAAGGTCGTAGGGGAGGCTGCGGGCGGTGAGGCTGGCCAGCTCAGGCTCCTGCGTCTCACCCACACAGTGACACAGCTCTATAACCTTCGGCCCCGTGAGCCTGCGGGTGGCCAGCTTCTTCAGTGCCTGTAGGACTTCGGCCTGCCTGGAGGCCACCCACGCCTCGCCCCGCTGCGTCAGGTGGTTGAGGAAGGGTCGGCAGGCACGGGATGCCAGGCCCGCCAGGAAGGTGGGGACGTGGTCTAAGAGCCCCAGTCTCGCCTTGGTCCGCAGCACCCAGCGAGAGTTGAGGGTGACGTGGCGGGCGAGCACGCTCTTCTCCACGCTGGGGCTGACCATCAGGTGCAGGGCAGCGAAGAACTCCTGCAGGCTGAGGTGGGTGAAGGCATAGCCTATCTGCTGCTGCCTGGGGCCCGTGCAGACATTGAAGGAGGTCAGCAGGCCCAGGGCAGCCCCGAAGGCCATCACGGATGGAGGAATGTCTGTGGCAGAGAAGATCACCTTCCCTATCTCCAGGGCCTCCAGGGCCACCTCCGCAAGGCCCATCAGGGAGTCGGTAGCCCGGGGCCCGTGGGGACTGAGGGCGAGCACCATCTGCACGTAGCTCTGAGTCACGGTGGGCAGGAGGGCCTCGGACTGGCCCGGAGACAGGCCCGGGAGCAGGTGGCGGAGGCAGAGGCAGGTGACTCGGCACAGGGCGGGCACCGCGCACATGCGCCGGAGACGCCCGTTGGCCCGCAGCTCCTCCAGGGCCGCCTCCTGCAGCGGCTCGGTGCCGAAGAAGCGGCCCACGTACTCCTCCACCCGAGGCCCGTCAAAGCCCCACATGTGGATCGTGGCGGCCTCCGTGGGCAGGCAGTCCGGCAGCTTCCCTGGACGGGAGGTGGCCATGATCCTGCAGCCGGGCAGCAGCGTCCCTCGGCAGAGGCCGGAGAAGAGGGCAAGGGCCGGGCCTGGGGCCTTGGGGCCAGCCCTGCCGGAGCAGGGATGCAGGGCTTCCTCCAGCCCGTCAAAGATGAGCAGCACCCCGCTGGCGTTCTCCTCCAGGTACTGGAAGACAGCGTCGGAGCCCGCCTCGGGGCTTAGGTACACGTCGAACAGGAGCTGAGGCAGCGTCAGGACGCTCGTGATCAGGTTGAGCTGGCGGAACTCGAAAAGGAACAGGGCCTGGAAGCGGTCCAGCTGGCCGTCGGCCCACCTCTGGCAGAGCCAGCGGGTCAGGGTGGTCTTGCCCATGCCGGCCTTCCCCAGGAGCACCGTCACCCTCGGGCCCTTGTCAGTCCTGGTGTTGAACAGGTCCTGGAGGCTCACGTCCATGCCGTCTTCTGCCCTGGGGCTCCCCATGGAGGCCCCCTCCTGAGTGTTGAAGGGTGCGGTGGCCCGGCCCCACTGCAGGATCGTGGGGATGTAGGCCTGGTGGAAGGCGAGGGGCTGCCCTGGCCCGGGGAGCTTGCCGTCACAGCGCTGCTGGGCGGACGTCCTCAGCAGCTGTAGGTACCTCCTGGCCAACTCTGCTGGGGGCAGGAAGATGGCGTGAGGGCAGGAGACCTCCCCAGCCCCCAGCCTCCCCGCCCCAGTCCTGGCTATTGGGAGTCTGCAGCCTTGGCTGTGTATATGCGGAGGGGGGCTGGCAAGAGCACATGGGGACTCGTGTGCCACCCAAATCCCAGGGAGGAGTTGTTTCTGCAGAAGCGGAGTCTCTGGCAGCCATTTAAACAGGATGTCTGGCGGGGAAGTGTGGATCACGGTTTTCTTTGCTTTGCAAAGACATAGGTGGTGTAAAGTTTTTAACAAGATGCAGAAGGGAAAAGGGGTACTTCTGATCAGAAGAACAACCTCCCCTGGGACATCTGAGTAATATGGGTTCCTCCCCAGTATTTCAGTTCTGCAACGTCCAGGGACGAGGGCTAACAACCTGTGAGTGCAGGCACTGACCAATCAGAACGGTGGGAACTGTGACGGTGCTCCTGGGAGCTGGGCCCCTACTGTTCCAGGGGATGACTTTTGAAATGCTGAGTCATTGGGAGACCTCAGGTGGCCCAGGGAAAGGACTGGGGACACTGCTGGGGGACCCAGGAGCCCTGCCGGGGGACCCGAGGTGGTAGTCTGTTTTATATCCGTGTGAATCTTCTGACTGCCTGTGAATCCTTTGGCTATCCCCATGGGTGTTGGGTTTCCCAGCTGGTGGGACAACTGGCAGAGAGCAAAGACTCTTATGGACAACTGGTGGGAAATGAGAGAAGTTCTGTCTCTCCTACTTCCCCTGGCCCGGCCAGTGCTCAGCAGCCTCCATGTCCCCCCATGGGTCCCAAGGGCTTCTGCTTTGTGTGTGTATGTGTGTGGGGGGGGGTCTCCCTGGTACCCTGCTCACCCCTAAAGTGGCCAAGGAGGGCCCAGGCATGAGGTTGTGAGGGTCACCTCCCTTGGGCCCACTCAACACTAAGCGTATGCAGAGAGGTCCCTGGAGGAGGCTCCGTAATAAAGCTGTCACTTGCTGGGATGCTTCCAGCTCCTTCCGCTGAACTATCTCCGGAGAAGCCCCCTCGTGGCTTGAAGGAGAGGCCCTCCTTGCCAGACTCAGCCCGTTCCTCTGCCTACTACCCGCTCCTGTGCCCACCCAGGACGTTCAATCCTTCAGGCATGGCAGCTTGGGATAGGAGGGTCACTAGGCCCCTGGAGGCTTGTCATCAGGGAACAGTGTCCAGGATCTGTGTCTTGGCCCCAAGGCAAGCCAAACCCTGTGTTCGGTTCAAGTCCCTCCCCACCTCAGTACACACCTAGGTACTGCTTCCTGGAATGCTTCAGGAGGGGTGAGGACCCGCAGCTCTGGTGAGGCCGCTTGAGGCCTGGAAGACATAAAGGAAAGAGTAAGGGGTGAGGTTTTGGGGCTGAGGAGGTCCCCAGGACCTCTGAGGGGCTCCCTTCCACAAACAGGCAGGCAGGCAGGTATATCCACACTCAGGAGCCAAGTGAAGGCAGCCCAGTGGTAAGTGCCAGAAGGCACCGGGGACCAGGGCGAACAGTATTGAGTTGTTGGGGAGCTGGGATTATGGGGTGGCTATTTTCTGTTAAAGCCTGATGTTACTACCATGCACGGCTGTAAGTAAAAAGTTGATGCGTCTACAGAAATAAAAGGTCTAAACTCACAGCTAACATCACACTCCATGGAGAAAGACTGAAAGCTTTTCTTCCTCTAAGAGCAGGAACAAGACAAAGATGCCCACTTCCACCACTTTTGTTCAACACAGAACTGGAAGTTCTAGCAATTAGGCAAGAAAAGGAAACAAATGGGAGAAGTAAAATGATCTGTTTACAGGTGACAGGATCTTACACTTAGAAAACCCTAGAGACTCCACCAAAGAAAGTTCTTTTAGAGTTAATAAATGAATTCAGCGAAGTAGCAGAATACAACCTGCAAAAAAACAGTTGCATTTCTATACACAAACAACGAACAATCTGAAAAGGAAATAACCAGAATAATTCCACTTACAACAGCATCGAAAAGAATAAAATACCAGGAATCAACTTAACCAAGGAGGTGAAAGATTCATATAACAAAGATGACAAAACACTACTTAAAGAAATTTAAAAAGGCATAAGTAAATGGAAACAGATCTCAGGTTCATGGATCGGAAGACTTAATACTGTTAAAACATCAACGCCACCCAAAGTGAGCTGCAGACTCCATGCAGATGCAACCTTACCACAATCCCAGTGACTTTTTTCCCAGAAATAGAAAATCCCATCCTGAAATTCACATGGAATATCAAGGCACCCTAAATAGCCAAAACACTCTTGAGAAAGAAGAACAAAGCCAGAGAACTTACATGTCCTGGTTTAAAAACTTAGTACAAAGCTACAGTAATCAAAACAGTGTGTATTGGCATTAAGACAGTCATACAACCTGATAAAATAGAGCACCTAGAAACAAACCTTTGTATGTAAATGTTGTTGTTTTTTTTTTGACAAGGGTGTCAAGGCCATTTCAATGGGAAAATGACCATTTTTGGGTTTTTTTTTTTTTGATAAATGGAAAACTGGATATCCACAGGCAAATGAATAAAATTGAACTCTTACCTAACACCATATGCAAAAAGTCACTCAAAATGAGCCAAGGACTTAAATGGAATACCTAAAACAATAAACCTCTTAGAAGAAAACATAGGACAAAAACTTCACTATGTGGGAATTTAACAACGATTTCTTGAGTAGGACACTAAAGGCACAGGCAACTAAAGAAAAAATAGGCGATTTGGATTTCATAAAAATTTAAAAATTTTGTGCATCAGCCCTGGCTGGTGTGGCTCAGTGGATGGAGCACCAGCCTGTGAACTGTAAGGTCGCCAGTTTGATTCCCAGTCAGGGCACATGCCTGGGTTGCAGGCTAGGTCCCCAGCTGGGGGCATGTGAGAGGCAACCAATAGATATTTCTTTCACACATCATTATTTCCCTCTTTCTCTTTCTCCCCCTCTCTAAAAAAGAAATAAAATTTAAAAAAATAAAATAAAATGAAATAAAATAAAATAAAAATTTTGTGCATCAAAAGCCACTATCAACAGAGTAAAAAGGCAACCCACAGAATGGGAGAAAATATTTTGCAAAATGTATATCCGAGAAGGGATTAATATCTGGAACATATAGAGAACTCCTAAAACTCAACAACAACATAAAACCAATCAAGCAGATTAAAAAATGGGCGAAGGATTTGAACAGACATCTCTCCAAAGAAAACATACAAATGGTCAATAAGCACATGAAAAGATGTTCAGCATCACCAATCTCTAGGGAAAGGCAAACCAAAACTACAGTGAGAGGCCACCTCACACCCATTGGGATGGTTACTATTACTAAAAACAGAAAGTAGTAAGTGTTGGCGAGGATGTGGAGAACTTGGGGCATTTGTGTGCTGCTGCAGGAATGTAAAACGGGGCAGCTGCTGTGGAAAGCAGTATGGAGGTGTCTCCAAAAATTAAAAATGGGACAGCCATAAGACCCTGGGTTCTAGGTACATACACAAAAGACTTGGAAGCAGGGTCTTTAAGAAACAGCTGTTCACCCAAGTTCATAGCAGTGTTACTCATAACAGTTAAAACATGGGAGTGAGCCAAGCGTCTGCCCATCAATGGCTAAACAAGTAAACTGTGGTCTCTCCACATGATGGAGTACCAGCTTTAAAAAGGAAGAGAATTCTCAAGCCCTGGCTGGCGCAGCTCAGTGGATTGAGTGCGGGCTGCGAACCAAAGTGTTGCAGGTTCGATTCCCAGTCAGGGTACATGCCTGGGTTGCAGGCCATGACCCCCAGCAACCGCACATTGATGTTTCTCTCTCTCTCTCTTTCTCCCTCCCTTCTCTCTCTAAAAATAAATAAATAATTTTTTTAAAAAAAAAGAAGAGAATTCTGACACACACCACCACAGGGATGAACCCTGAGTACCGGCTGAGTGAAATAAGCCAGTCGCAAAATGACTCCACTTACACGAGGCAGTTAGAGTCGTCAAAACCAGAAAGACGCAGAGCAAGGTGGCGGTCACCAGGGGCGAGGGGAAGGGGGAGAGGGGGGTTGCCGTTGGACGGGGACGGAGTTTCAGTTTTACCAGAAGAAAAGAGTTCTCTGGAGGCGGGTAGTGGTGATCAACCGCAGGCTGCACAGCGGTGCAAGGGTGCACTTAATACCACTGAACTGTGCACTCAAAAATGGGTAAGGTGGCAAATTTTCTGTTGTGTGTATGTTGCTGCAGTAAAAAGAATGAAATGTTCTGAGAACGGGCTGTGGCCCAAGAATCGGTGAGGTGGTCCGCATTTGGTCGGGGGCCCCTCTATGCTCCAGCAGAAAACCGCTGGAGGCTCCCTGGGCGTGGCCAGCAGCGCACGGCCTGTCAGGACCCAGCTGTCCAAACAGCGAGGGACCACAGTCAGTGGGGCTGCAGCCTGAGGCCCCGAGGCCTGGGGACAGGAAAGTGGGACCAGGCTTCCCCAGGTGAGGCCAAATGGAGGATTCTGGCAGAGTGAAGGAACCGTCAATTTAAGCTCTCCCAGGAGGCTCCAGGCTAGACCCCTGGGGCAGGCCACAGCCTTGAGGGGCAGAGAAGGGGAGGAGGTGGGAGCCATGGTGAGGGGCAGCGGACAAGCGCAAAAGGATCGGGGGATGAGGAGGAGGGTTTATGGGACATGGCTGTGACGGGTCCCCACCAGCCTCCTCCAGGTCTGATGTGGGAACTTGCTCACCACCCGCCTCCTGCTCCCCAACCCAGGGCCTCACCGTGGCTGAGCCGAGGCTCAGGTTCACTGTCTTCGCCAGTTTCCAAGGGACTGAGAAACCCTGTGTGAGAGAGGGGAGGACATCACACACCGCTGGGATGCGCTGGGACCAGCTCCGGTCTTCGGGGCTCAGGGCTCACCCCAAAGCATGGGTCCCCCAGCAAGGGAGAAGTAAAGTTTACCCTCAGCGGCCTGTGGGGGGCGCAGCTGGAGGTGGGCCGAGAAAGCAGCCAGGTGCTCAAATGTATGCATGCGTGTGTACACATGTATGTACACACGCATGCATGTAGATTTGCACCCAAACAGGCATGTGTGTGTCGCATGTTTATGCATGTGTGTGCACATGCTCGTGTTTGTGCACTGGAGAGCCCCTTGCATTTCCTGCACGCTGCCTTGAGGTGCAGTTGTGGAGTGAGTTCTCACCGTGTCCCCATGGTGCTGTGTAAACAGAAGGGGCCCAAGAAACACCCACTGCCCTGAACAGATTCAGTCTGCCTGCCCGTCAGTACAGGTGTGAGGTTTCTCCCTGGGACTGCTTCTGACCACGTCGCAAGAAGAAACCTCTTGGGTATTATGGGCTGTTTGGAATTTCCTGGCTGGAAGGAGTCACCCACCACCCACCCTTTCTCTTCTTGCCTCTTGCCTCCCCGGGCAACTGGGGTGGTACAGGTGGAGGGAGTTGCCCTGGTCTCCTGCCGATGTGGCAGCTTTAGGAAATTCGCTCTGGGAAGTGTCCAGAAACAGGGCATTTTGATCCTGGCTGAGCCATGCCTTCTCGGTGTGACTCAGGTGGGCCCCCGCTTTCCCGGGGCCTGTCCGCACCTCTCACGCATGCCCTTACCGCCTCCTTCGTGGCCCCAAGTGCTCAGCAGCAGCACCTCCAGCTCCAGGGGCACCTCCAGCTCCATGCACACACAGTGGATGAACGCCTGCCAGGTGGCCGGACCTTGCGCGTGCAGCTCCCTGAGTTGCAGGAGGACCCTCTTTCGGAGGTCTAGGGCCTCATTCCCGGAGCCCAGGTCCGTGTTGGGGAGGAAGAACTTCACCTTGGCACTCAGCCATTCGGGGTCATTGCTGAGCAGCCTCGCGAGACAAACCCACTGGTCCCTGGTGTCCAGATGGAAGCTAATGGGATCCATGAGGAGCTGACCCTGTAGGGACAGGGTGGGCAGGTGAGCTGGAGGGAACAGGAGAGCTGGGGGCAGGTGAGCTGGGGACAGGTGAACTGGGGGACAGGTGAGCAGTGGGACACCTAAGCTGGGGGGAAGCCAAAGGGCACAGTACAGAACTCCGCCCACACACATCGGAGGGGCGGAGAGTAGGCAGACAAGCGGCCTCTCTGTGGAGCCCCAAAGCCTTTGCCCCGGGGTCAGTCCCAGAGATCAACCTCCTTCTTCAGCATCCGTCCCCTTCTCCCAACTGCGCCTGTGTGCTGGCTCTGAAATGGTCTAGTTCGTTCCCCGTGGACGGTGCCCAAGAATGCTTTACTCATTATGTTTCCATGGACCCTCTTGTGATGCTCTCTGTCCGAGCTGATCTATCTGTCCCCCTAACTTCACTCTCCCTTTCTTCTTTAGTACTGGAACCCCTGAATATTCCTTGCTTAGCTGGAATAGGCTATTTCCCAGTCTCCCTTGCAGTGAGATGTCATTAAGTTTTGGCCAATGGGATGTCAGTGGAAGTGTTGTATATCCTTTTTTACTTCTTCCTGTCGGCTGGAATGTTGATGTGATGGCTGAACCTCGGGCAGCCATACTGGATCACGAGGTGGAAGCCAGGGCTTAGGGAGATGGAGGGTAACGCTTTCCACCTGCCCTGGACTCTCTGACATGGAACTTGTATGACACGACATGGAAATACATTTCTATTTTCTGTTTAAAGCACTACTATTTATGGCTTTCTGCTACTCACAGTAAAATCTGATCCTAGCCAATGCAAACCCTCTTCTCTCTCCGCAAATTTAGGCAAATTCTCCCCTTCTAAACTGTAACTCTCAAACAGCTTGCTGGCAGGAGTTCCAGAACAAGGTGCAGACACTCACACAGCAGGGGCCTAAAAGTGTGCAGTCCCCTTGACTCAGCGACTCCATTTCTGGCATTCCAGCCTTAGGAGACAATCACGGAGGGACATCAAATGTTCACCACAGTGCTGCGTACTGCGAGAATATTTATACCACTTAAAAACTGGAAACCGCCCGAATGTCCAGGAAGTGGAGATTAGTTGACTAACTGGTTGGTTGTCATATAAAGAAATATGCTAAAAATTTTCCAAATGTACCTTCTGGTACTATTTCCTTAATAACTGCAGCAAACACTCAGAAAGCACTGACTATGTGTTGGGCACTGTTCTAAGTGCTTTACGTGCCTCACTGAATCCTCACTCCAGAGACCTCCACTTACTTCTAACTCTGAAAAGGCTGAGAGGCCCACCAGGAGCCAACCTTATTGACCCCCGGAGGCGGGGGCACGGACAATGTGTCTTGGGGTTCAGACCCTAGCTGTTCCCTTGACCCTAGCAGAGGCCTGCTGGGCATGTGTCCCCCCGACCAACCCCCCTCTGGCCATCCCTCCCCAACCAGACTAATAAAAATAACTCCTTGCTCAGGCACAGCACTTTAGAATTGGTGAAGTCCACTCACATCCGTGGGGCAGGCGGGGATCACCCCTCCCCACTGAGCATGTGGAAACACCAAGGCCACTGAAGAGTAAAGGACGTGCCCAAGGTCCCACTGCATGTCCATGGCAGAGCCAGGCTCAGAACTGAGACTTCTCAGCCTGAGGCAGCAAATTCCCAAGGCCCTGGAGACCTCGGTGGTAGCAGACCAGGGCGGAGTCCCTGACCTTGGTGTGATCCGGGCAATGGCAGGTGGCCATGGCCTGGGGCTTCCGTCCCGGGCTGCCGTGGCCAAAGTCCCTGCTGCCCATGAAGAAACCACTCCGGACAGCAAGTGCCAGGCGGCATAAGGAGTGCCTTGGAGGATATAATTTCTGAGGTTCTTGATCCTGAAGTTGCCCCTCCTGCCAGCCTAACACAATGCCTTTCTTTCCCCCACTGGGGCTTGAGCCCCTTGCGGTGGACACGTTGAGCCCTTGAAGGGCAAGCTTCCTGGGAGAAAACGGGAGTCATTGAGGCTCCTGTGGGAAGCAGCCTTGGAGGTGCGGCTACAGTAGACAGCCCCGAGGCCCCGAACCTAGGAGGCTGCAATCTGCCCCCGCTCTGTAGCTAATTCTCATTCCCTTCCTCCTCTCCGGGCCCTCGGTAGGACTGCATCTCCCTCCCTGCCCCCTTGACATTGGAAACGTCAACGGAATGTGCTTTGGCTAAGACACTTGGGGCTTCAGTTACACCATCTATGAAATGGGTAGATTGGATGCCATCTCAGGCCCTTGCAGACCTTCTGTGTCAATGACTTCCACCCTCAGGCTGAATGGCAGCCAAGGGCAGGTTTGTCGTGCTGGGGACAGCCCACTGGGGTTACATCTGCACCGGGGGTGGGCGGGGAGTGATGGGAGAAACAGGAGAGGCAAAGGGGAAAGGTCACCTACTTGGCTTCCCGGTTCATCATAGGTGTTCTAGGGTGTCATGGAGAGGGTCTCGTGGGCGGCCGGGCCAGTCCTGTTTCTGCGCATCGAGCTGAATCTGCACATTGTTCCCGCGGGGCAGGCCCCTGAGGAGAGAGGAGACAGGGTGCTCTGTCCTGTGCTCCAGAGTCCAAGAGGAATGCTGTAGGGAGGCACCAGCCCCTCCCCGCCTGGGCAGACCCCTCGCCGGACACGTGACCCCGGAACGTCCCCTGGCCTTCGCGCACAGACCCGTTCTTCCCGACCCCAGCTCCTCTCGCCCCTGGGCGGGGCCCTGCTCGCCCTCCCTGGGGTCCCCGCCTGCCTGCCACGCCTGGCCCAGGGGAGGTCCCTTTTCCTCCCCCTTTTCTTCCTCCAACTCGGACACGCACCTTCCAGGGACTCGTGGTGTCCCCGCGTGCCCTTCGAACACGGCCGACTCGCTACAGCTCCTTTGCTGGGAGGAACTGGCGTAACCCTCACCTCAGCTGCCGCCTGCCTTTCCCAATAAAACTGGAAAGCTTAGGGTTTGCGAGTCTCAGTCTAATCACATTAGGAAGTAGGTTTTAAAGAACGGAGACTCAACGTTGTTTGGAAAGAGAAAACCCAGAGGCACCGACCGCTGCCTGCCTGCCTGCCCTGAGCACAGTGATCGGTGCTGCGGCACACGCACGTGCAGAGCACAACCTTAGGGACTGCCGCCTGACACCTCGGAACGCACGAGAAAAAGGATGGCCAGACAGTACGCGGAAGGAGAAGAAAGGCTGAAGACCAGGACGTGCGCCGGCTGTGTACCCGAGACGTACGGGGAAGGTAACTACCAAGTTCCAGAACTTGAGATAAATCCACCTCAACTGGGCAGATCTGAACACAACAGAGACCAGTACTGCAGTTAGAGATAAAAAAGAAAGGTTCTGTTGGACAGGTACCGAGGGCACTGATGACCTTTCTTTCAACGCAGTTGTCAAACTCTAACAGAAGAAGAGAGGAGAGTTAGGAGCCCATCGAGATAAAGCTTCACTTGCTGGCCGCCCCACCGTGGGAGATCTGCTGGCCCCGCCCCCCTCGGGGCTCCTGGTGGAGGTCTGGGCCGAATCCAGGACAGACTGAGTTGTGCGGCTCTAGGACCGGGGCCATTTTTCCATAGCACTCCTGACAGGACAGGTGCAGAGCCTTCCCGTCACACGCACACACCTGGGCCTGTTAGGGCCCGATAACCCCTGCTGACGGCTCTCTGAGGCCCCGCCCCACCGCAAAGGTACACAAGCACCTGGCAGGTGGCAGCTAGACTTGGTGTGACCTGGGATGTTGCTGAGTGGTCCTACCTCACGCCACTGTTTCAGTGACTGAGCCCCACAGGCCGCGGGCGGTGGGGGCAGGCGGGGGCAGGTGGAGACGGGTGGAGACGGGTGGAGGCGGACTGCAGGTTTCCCAGGGACTTATGCTGACCCCACCCCTGGTGCTGGTAAAAGCCAGCGTGGGCACGAAGCTTGATCCTTCCCGCGCACACCCAGGCCCAGCAGACGCAGCCACACACCGTGGGTCGCTCTGCAGCCCCACACAGGTCGCCCCGGGCCACTCCCAGGCAGCGTCTGACACGGGGCTGCGCCAGAGTCCCACCTGAGAGGGCCCAGAACTGACGCAGCCAGTGACCAGCGTCAGACCACACCCGAGCAGGCCGCAGTCAGCTTCACCAGCAGCATGTAAAGGGCCCGGACCCTGCTGAGGCTAATTGCGCTCTTCGTGGTCCTTCCCAGCGTTCCTCAGGGGGTCTTTCCACCTTAGGCTGGGACGCAAAACTCAGTGTAACCAGCGTCACGAGGAGCTCCGTTTCCGTAGCTCCACACCATGGAATATTACTCAGCCACAGGCGTGAACCACGAAAACACTGTGCTCAGTGGAAAAAGTTCCAGTGTATTCTCGTAAGTCAATCCAAATGTTGAAGACTGCAGCCTGTGTTTACGTGTGCGTGCGTGTGTCTGTGTGAGTGTGCCCTTGCATACATAAAGACCAACTCTAGGGCAACTTGAGAAATTGGTGACAAGATTGTCTGGAGAGGGGACCTGGGGACACAGGCAAAGGACAGCCCTTTACACTGCCCTTTTGGACCACCGTGTACCATTCAAACTTCTTCACGGGGGTGTTTGGATTAAAAAAAAACACACACACACAAGAACATTTACATTAATACACAGAACAGACATGCCCCCAACACGTCCTTACGAGGCGTGCATGACGGTGAGTCAGCACAAGAAAGCACCAGCGAGGCCTCGCGGAGAGGGAAGTCCCGTGGGCAGCGTGACCGACGGCGTTAGCGCGGACTCGGGAAGGCAGGGAGGGAGGCGAGTGTGACAGGCAGAGGCTGACGCTTCCAGCTCACAGTTCATGCATCTGGAGGCCATATTTTATTCTACGATTCAGCTGAATGTTTTTATGTGTGTTGTGGAGACAGAACTCCATTTTCACGGGCACCGAGGTTGAAACAGTTGAACAGAGAATGCAGTGAATATTTGCTGAATGGCAGGCACGAGCCTTTGGACTTTATCTATTTTCATTCTCACAACGGCTCCTCTTGGATGCCTGGTGTGCGTTTAAAATTTCCAAGTCCCGCCCTGGCTGGGGTGGCTCAGTGGACTGAGTGTCGGCCTGCAAACCAAAGGGTTGCCGGTTCAATTCCCAGCCAGGGCACATGCCTGGGTTGCGGGCAAGGTCCACCCAACCCTAGTGGGGAGGGGTTGCGTGAAAGGCAACCACACATTGATGTTTCTCTCCCTCTTTCTCCCTCCCTCTCCTCTCTAAAAGTAAATAACTAAAACCTTTTAAAAAATAGAATTTCCAAGACCAGCCCTGGCTGGGCCTGGGTGCCCGGTCTCCCCTCTGAAGTGCCAGCTCCTGCCCTCACCTTCCTCATTTCGGCACAGGGGGGCCTCGTGCTTCCCGGGGCTCAGGCCAAAAGCGGCCTGGTTTTTCCCAGGGTGTCACAGAACCTCACTTCCTCCACCGCTGCCGCCTAGACCGGCACCGGCATCTCTCACCCAGATTCCTGCCCCGGGAGAACTGGTCTCCCTTCCTCTGCCCTGGCCCCACATCCTCTGGGGGGACGGGGTGGGGGGGGTCAGATCATCAAGTTCAAGCGTGGACCACACCACATACCTTTGTCTCTAGGAAACGCCTCGTCTCACCTTGCATGAGAGCCAAAGATTTTCTCCACACTAGGAAGATGTTGGAACAGTTTTTTTTAAAAAGTCAAACTTGGTAACTTTCAAATTCCTCTCATTGTGGAGGTTGTTTTCCATTTATTTTTAACTTGGCCAATTGATATTTTTTTTCTAAGAAAATTGCTCATTTTGTCAAGAATGTTCTTAGCACACGGTCCCTGGCCTTCCATCCGAACTGTTCCCTCTACCAATTGCCATCGCCTGTGTGTCCACGGGCAGCTCCGAGGGTGGCGGTGCACTGCCTAGGGCCACACGCTCGGCGCCCAAAGGGAGCCCGGGCGGGCGGATTCGCTGCAGTCCAGTGGTGTCGCCCCACCAGGTCCAGCCTGCGAGGGGGAGAAGGGCAGGGGCGAGTCTGCCGGCCCTGTCTGGGCGGCGGTCTCACTGAGGGTCTGCATGGAAGCTCCCTCCCACCCTGTGCTCTCGGGGACTCCTTCCTGCTCCCTGGAGGTGCTTACTGGCTGGAGGTCAGAGGGGCATGGAGAACTCAGGCCATTCCCTCACTGCAGCCCCAGGCCTTTGCCCTGGCTGTTCCCTTTGTCTGGGGAGCCTCCGCCTCCAGCCCACACGCCTGCACACATGCACCCATGCTCACGTGTGCATGCACACAGGTAGGAAAGCGCGTGCACACACATGCATATACACTCCTGGCCCTGTTGTCTCTATGACTCTGCTCTGGTCTCACCTCATTTCTCTCTATACATCCTCTCTGCTTCCCATCACCTCCAAGGGAAAGTCACGCCACGTTCCTATGACTTCCACAAAGCAGGTGTCCGAGAAAGGTTCGAAGGATGCATGCAGAAATGGTCCTTGCCGCCCGGCTCCTGGCCCCCGCTGGCCCTCACACCCCCATGGCCATGGCCGTGGCTGTGGCCATGGCTGTGACCGCACTCCCAGCCCCACCCCTGGTCCTCTGGTCCTTTCACAACACCCTGCCTTGCTCAAGGACCTTTCTCTGCCTCAAATGCCCTTCCCTTTCTGTCCCACCTTGCGAACGCCTCCTCCCTTCTCAGGGAAGTCTTCCAGGCTGCCGTCCCAACCCAGCCAGGCTCACAGTGGGGCGTCACTCCGTAGTGCTATCTCCTTTCTCTTCCCCAGTGTAGGGAGGTCTTGCCACTCTGCATTGTCACTTCCTCTGGGCAGACCACCACCCCTCAGCAGGCTGGGGACACTGGGAGGGCAGGGGCAGCGTCTGACTCTGGATGAGAGTGGACCCCCCGGCCCCGGGCGCTGGGTCTGCATCTGTCCTAGTTACCAGCTGCGGAACCCCCACCAGGCTACTTTATCCCTTGGTACCTCAGCATCCTCATCTGTAGACTGGGGGTGTCCTAGGTCAGGCCCTACAGGCAGAGCCCAGGACGGGTGTGTCTATAAAAGTTATCCATTGAGGGGTGAGGGAGGCAGGATAGGGCGGAAGAAGCAGCTAAGCAAGGATGTGGCTTCAGGAACAGTCTGGGTTCAGCCTGACCCACAGGGAGCTCTGGAGTGTGAACCAAAGGGCTTTCTACCCAAGGACCCTCTAGGGTTCCCAGATGTACCAGGCCAGTCCTGGCCTGGCTAGGACAGCAGGTGGCCACGTAGTGGCCTCGTCTATCTCACTTAAGAGTTTGTCCTGCCCAGCAGCAAGAGGACTGGGGGATTATGTCTCACACCTGCCAGTCACTGGCTATGGGTATCGCCCAGTGGGTGGAGGAGGGAGGGGTGTCAGAGGCAACTACTGTCAGCCAAGGGTAATCCTGTGGGGAAGGTGCAGCCATTACTGTCTCCACCTATGGCGGATCGTGGATGTAGCAGACGCAAGAGGGAGTGCCCACAGTGTCTGCTCTGGGGGTGATAGTAACCTCTAGGTGGTAAGGATGTTGGCGGATGGGAGATGAGATTCTGTGATG